GTTCTAGTTCTGTTCTAGTTCTGTTCTAGTTCTGTTCTAGTTCTGTTCTAGTTCTGTTCTAGTTCTGTTCTAGTTCTGTTCTAGTTCTGTTCTAGTTCTGTTCTAGTTCTGTTCTAGTTCTGTTCTAGTTCTGTTCTAGTTCTGTTCTAGTTCTGTTCTAGTTCTGTTCTAGTTCTGTTCTAGTTCTGTTCTAGTTCTGTTCTAGTTCTGTTCTAGTTCTGTTCTAGTTCTGTTCTAGTTCTGTTCTAGTTCTGTTCTAGTTCTGTTCTAGTTCTGTTCTGTTCTAGTTCTGTTCTAGTTCTGTTCTAGTTCTGTTCTAGTTCTGTTCTAGTTCTGTTCTTGTTCTGTTCTTGTTCTGTTCTAGTTCTGTTCTTGTTCTGTTCTAGTTCTGTTCTAGTTCTGTTCTAGTTCTGTTCTAGTTCTGTTCTAGTTCTGTTCTAGTTCTGTTCTAGTTCTGTTCTAGTTCTGTTCTAGTTCTGTTCTAGTTCCGTTCTAGTTCTGTTCTAGTTCTGTTCTAGCTCTGTTCTAGTTCTGTTCTAGTTCTGTTCTAGTTCTATTCTAGTTCTGTTCTAGTTCTGTTCTAGTTCTGTTCTAGTTCTGTTCTAGATCTGTTCTAGTTCTGTTCTAGTTCTGTTCTAGTTCTGTTCTAGTTCTGTTCTAGTTCTGTTCTGTTCTAATTCTGTTCTAGTTCTGTTATACTTTTTTTAAATCCCTTTAATTCTCCAAACGTATACTTTTACAAATATTAAGGTTTATGCTAAAAAATATGATCAAATCAAAATGAAAATTTTATATTGCAAAAGTATGTATATAAAACATGCGCCCAAAATAATTTAAACTTGTATCTTCGAATTTCAACGCAATGCTTATGTTCAGAGTATATACCTCGTATTTAAATATACATGTTCATTATAGATAACTTATGTATAACCGATTATGGTATATGAAGCACAACTTTATATGCCGTGGTGTGAATAAGTAAAATATGAGATTAAAAAAATTATGCATTGTTTAAAATCGGCACAAACTAATTGTTTCTTTTATACATAATACACGTTGGCAACAACATTTATTCGAAACAAACTTTTCAAATAAATATAAAAATCCTCTGAAAAAAAAATGTTCAAATGCTAAGATACTCTTACATGCAAAATTAAAAAAAAAAAAAAAATACTCGTATCTACTAAAATTTCTGCTTTAATTGCACTATTTCCGTTTGCAACCAGATATTTGACGAGTGCGATTGTATACACGAGAGATGTAGAAAAGAATTGTTTTGCATTTGGATTTTAGAATGGAGAAAAATTGTATTAGAATGTTGTTTAAGTGATCATATACAAAAATATAAATTATTTACATTTGTTAGCAGCAAATGTATCATTTAAAGTTATAAATTTGTGTTTACAAAAAAAAAAAAAAAAAGATTTATTCATGGAAATTTATGTTTTCTTCCATGGCGAATATGAAATTTATTTGCCATTAATATTGTATAAAATGGCGCCAAATTATGGTCTAGTTAGTAAATATTTTTGTATTTAAAACAACCAAATTAAAAATTTAATATTATTTAAGGCTACACACTGGAATGATTACATATTAATAGTAATATGTACATATGTATTAATTTCAGTACTTTATTGAAATTTAACAAAATGATTAAAAAATTGGAACAATCTTTGGGATACAATTTTAAATATGTATACATGTTGAATTAGTTGACAGAAAACTCTCTTTTAGGTTCAGATCTTAATAAGAAGTAAAATATCGTTCTAGTTGAGTTCTAGTTAAGTTCTAGTTAAGTTCTAGTTCAGTTCTAGTTAAGTTCTAGTTCAGTTCTAGTTCAGTTCTAGTTCAGTTCTAGTTCAGTTCTAGTTCAGTTCTAGTTCAGTTCTAGTTCAGTTCTAGTTCAGTTCTAGTTCAGTTCAAGTTCAGTTCTAGTTCAGTTCTAGTTCAGTTCTAGTTCAGTTCTAGTTCAGTTCTAGTTCAGTTCTAGTTCAGTTCTAGTTCAGTTCTAGTTAAGTTCTAGTTCAGTTCTAGTTCAGTTCTAGTTCAGTTCTAGTTCAGTTCTAGTTCAGTTCTAGTTTAGTTCTAGTTCAGTTCTAGTTCAGTTCTAGTTCAGTTCTAGTTCAGTTCTAGTTCAGTTCTAGTTCAGTTCTAGTTCAGTTCTAGTTCAGTTCTAGTTAAGTTCTAGTTAAGTTCTAGTTCAGTTCTAATTCAGTTCTAGTTCAGTTCTAGTTCAGTTCTAGTTAAGTTCTAGTTCAGTTCTAGTTCAGTTCTAGTTCAGTTCTAGTTCAGTTCTAGTTCAGTTCTAGTTCAGTTCTAGTTCAGTTCTAGTTCAGTTCTAGTTCAGTTCTAGTTCAGTTCTAGTTCAGTTCTAGTTCAGTTCTAGTTCAGTTCTAGTTCAGTTCTAGTTCAGTTCTAGTTCAGTTCTAGTTCAGTTCTAGTTCTAGTTCAGTTCTAGTTCAGTTCTAGTTCAGTTCTAGTTCAGTTCTAGTTCAGTTCTAGTTCAGTTCTAGTTCAGTTCTAGTTCAGTTCTAGTTCAGTTCTAGTTCAGTTCTAGTTCAGTTCTAGTTCAGTTCTAGTTCAGTTCTAGTTAAGTTCTAGTTGAGTTCTAGTTAAGATCTAGTTCAGTTCTAGTTAAGTTCTAGTTCAGTTCAAGTCAGTTCTAGTGCAGTTCAAGTCAGTTCTAGTGCAGTTCTAGTTAAGTTCTAGTTCAGTTCTAGTTCAGTTCTAGTTCAGTTCTAGTTCAGTTCTAGTTCAGTTCTAGTTCAGTTCAGTTAAAGTTCAGCTCTACTTCAGTTCTAGTTCAGCTCTACTTCAGTTCTAGTTCAGTTCTAGTTCAGTTCTAGTTCAGTTCTAGTTCAGTTCTAGTTCAGTTCTAGTTCAGTTCTAGTTCAGTTCTAGTTCAGTTCTAGTTCAGTTCTAGTTCACTTCTAGTTCAGTTCTAGTTCAGTTCTAGTTCAGTTCTAGTTCAGTTCTAGTTCAGTTCTAGTTCTAGTTCAGTTCTAGTTCAGTTCTAGTTCAGTTCAGTTAAAGTTCAGCTCTACTTCAGTTCTAGTTCAGTTCTAGTTCAGTTCTAGTTCAGTTCTAGTTCAGTTCTAGTTCAGTTCTAGTTCAGTTCTAGTTCAGTTCTAGTTCAGTTCTAGTTCACTTCTAGTTCAGTTCTAGTTCAGTTCTAGTTCAGTTCTAGTTCAGTTCTAATTCAGTTCTAGTTCAGTTCTAGTTCAGTTCTAGTTCAGTTCTAGTTCAGTTCTAGTTCAGTTCTAGTTCAGTTCTAGTTCAGTTCTAGTTCAGTTCTAGTTCAGTTCTAGTTCAGTTCTAGTTCAGTTCTAGTTCAGTTCTAGTTCAGTTCTAGTTCAGTTCTAGTTCAGTTCTAGTTCAGTTCTAGTTCAGTTCTAGTTCAGTTCTAGTTCTAGTTCAGTTCTAGTTCAGTTCTAGTTCAGTTTCTAGTCAGTTCTAGTTCAGTTCTAGTTCAGTTCTAGTTCAGTTCTAGTTCAGTTCTAGTTCAGTTCTAATTCAGTTCTAGTTCAGTTCTAGTTCAGTTCTAGTTCAGTTCTAGTTCAGTTCTAGTTCAGTTCTAGTTCAGTTCTAATTCAGTTCTAGTTCAGTTCTAGTTCAGTTCTAGTTCAGTCTAGTTCAGTTCTAGTCAGTTCTAGTTCAGTTCTAGTTCAGTTCTAGTTCAGTTCTAGTTCAGTTCTAGTTCAGTTCTAGTTCAGTTCTAGTTCAGTTCTAGTTCAGTTCTAGTTCAGTTCTAGTTCAGTTCTAGTTCAGTTCTAGTTCAGTTCTAGTTCAGTTCTAGTTCAGTTCTAGTTCAGTTCTAGTTCAGTTCTAGTCTAGTTCAGTTCTAGTTCAGTTCTAGTTCAGTTCTAGTTCAGTTCTAGTTCAGTTCTAGTTCAGTTCTAGTTCAGTTCTAGTTCAGTTCTAGTTCACTTCTAGTTCAGTTCTAGTTCAGTTCTAGTTCAGTTCTAGTTCAGTTCTAGTTCAGTTCTAGTTCAGTTCTAATTCAGTTCTAGTTCAGTTCTAGTTCAGTTCTAGTTCAGTTCTAGTTCAGTTCTAGTTCAGTTCTAGTTCAGTTCTAGTTCAGTTCTAGTTCAGTTCTAGTTCAGTTCTAGTTCAGTTCTAGTTCAGTTCTAGTTCAGTTCTAGTTCAGTTCTAGTTCAGTTCTAGTTCAGTTCTAGTTCAGTTCTAGTTCAGTTCTAGTTCAGTTCTAGTTCAGTTCTAGTTCTGTTCTAGTTCTGTTCTAGTTCAGTTCTAGTTCCGTTATAGAGTTAAAGATCTATGGCCGATTGGTAATCGGTTTTTAGGATCCAATTGCTGTTTCAGTATTAGGAACAATACATTTTGGCAAATGAATGCGGATATAATACGCATTCCTAGTAGAAGTGGTTATGCTAGTTATGACGGTTTCTATAGATCTGGAACACTTTGCCATACTTTATGACCCAAAAGCGAAAGAAAAGCCAAATAATAGTGGAACAGCCTGTTACACATTTCTAGCCATAAAAGCAGTTTTCAATAAAATTAATATGACGTCATCAATTATAATTTTTATCATATGGAAGTACAAGTAATTAAGTATAGGCACACACACATACACATACATAAGTAATATATCTTTCTTAGTATCTTTTCCATCGACATTTATCTGATGTCTTTTGTATATCTAACCAAAAAAAAAAGATGCAAATAAATAAATAATTATTTTTTTGTATACAAACATTCCTATCAAGAGGAATGTATATAAATAAGAAGAGATCTCTTTAAGAGCCAATACATAAACTCCTCAATTGTGTTTGCTTCACTTAGAAGTCAGACGGACGAACGGCATAGGGACATTGCTTATATATGGTTTTTTATTTTTATTGATTTTAATTGAAATGCTAGTCAACAATTTATCTATAGATCTTAATACGATGAGCAGTGTTTAGTTTGAAAGTTTTTGAAATTACATATGTATGCATATGAAGCGAAATTAAAAAAAAATTTATTTTCCATTTTAGCAACCCGATCAAAAGTGTAATGGTGTTGTGTGCGATTGTAAAGGTTTGAAGGGCCGACCAGGTGATATTGGTGTACCCGGTTTTCAAGGTTATGAAGGTCCAGCTGGTGAATTTGGTCCAATGGGTCCACCCGGTCGTCCTGGCGAATGGGGTGATCCTGGTGAGTACGGTGGTCCAGGTGAAAAAGGTCATCGTGTAAGTTAATAATAGAATATCCATAATTCATATCAAATATTCAATATATTTTTTTCATATTTAGGGTGACCCTGGTTTAGCTGGCTTACCTGGAGCTCCTGGTCCTCGTGTAAGTATTTATGGCGTTTAGTATTTACTTCAATTTGCTTTTATATTATAGTTTAATTATTTGTTTTTTAGGGTCGTCAAGGTGAAGACGGTCCACAAGGTCCTCGTGGTATTGATGGTTGTGATGGTAAGACTGGTCAGCAAGGTGCTCCCGGTGTCCCCGGTAGACATGGTGGTCGCGGTGAAGTTGGTAAACCTGGTCCCCCAGGTCCCACTGGTGATGCCGGTGAAGGTGGTATTAACTCCAAGGGAACCAAAGGTAGTCGTGGTGATCGTGGTACTGATGGCTACGATGGTCAACAAGGTTATCAAGGCATGAAGGGTTATAAGGGTGACACCGGTTTCCCTGGTTTAGAAGGTGCAAAAGGTGAATCTGGCCCCAAGGGTTACAAGGGTGAAATGGCTGAACCGGCCGATTTACAATTGCAAGAACAAGGTCAACAAGGTGATAAGGGTGAACCAGCTGATGCCGAAGAGGGTGAATGGAATCCAACACCAGTTATTAAGGGTGAAAAAGGTGAAAAAGGTATACGAGGAGATGCCGGTATTCGCGGTCCTCAGGGTGAAATTGGTGAACTTGGTCGTCAAGGTTTGCCCGGTATTCGTGGTGATACTGGTGAAGCTGGTGAACGTGGTAAACCCGGTAAACCTGGTGATCCTGGTTTTCCTGGTGCTAAAGGTGTTAAAGGTGCTCCTGGTTACAACGGTAGAGATGGTGAAGATGGACTTCCTGGTCAACTTGGTGATGATGGTTACAACGGTATTCCCGGTGTACAAGGTCCTCCTGGTCCACCCGGTATCTACGATCCCAATTTAGATATTTCATTACCCGGTCCTATTGGTCCCCAAGGTGATATTGGTGAACCTGGTTTGCCCGGTTTGTCAGGTATACCCGGTCGTCCTGGTCGTCAGGGTCCCCGTGGTCCAACTGGCCCTCCTGGTGATGCTGGTTTGGATGGTCTACCTGGTCGTCGTGGTGCCAGTATAAAGGGTGACGATGGTGATTTTGGTTTAATGGGTCCCCCTGGTCCTATGGGACCTCCTGGAAAACCTGGTCCAATTGGTCGTGTTGGTGAACCTGGTAATCCCGGTAAAAATGTACTTGGTCCCAAAGGTTTTGCTGGTCAACCTGGCATTCCCGGCCTTGATGGTTATCGTGGTGACCGTGGTGATATGGGTTTACCTGGTGAGAAAGGTTTACCTGGTTTAGGTGTTGACAAAGTTGGTCCCCCCGGTCCAGATGGTATGCCCGGTCCTCGCGGTCAACCTGGTGTTGACGGTATTCCTGGTTATCGTGGTATGCCCGGTGACAAAGGTATTCGTGGTGATGACTGTGGAATTTGCCCTGCTGGTCCAAAAGGCATTCCTGGTATTCGTGGTGATGCTGGTTATCCTGGAGCTCATGGAGCTAGAGGTCTTTCGGGTATTACTGGAGAACGTGGTTTCAAGGGTTTGCCTGGTCGTCCTGGTCTAGTTGGTTTCAAAGGTATTCGTGGTACCGATGGTATTCCTGGTGAATCCGGTCAGCCTGGTCTCCCCGGTAGACCTGGTCAAGTTTTACGAACTGGTAACAAACGTATAGCAGAAACTGGCGATGTTGGTGATATGGGCGAACGTGGTATGCAAGGAGAAACTGGTGACCGTGGTGCTAAAGGTATAGATGGACTTCGTGGTTTTAAGGGTGAAACTGGTTTGCGTGGTGAATATGGTGATGCTGGTTATCCCGGTAGGGATGGTGCTCCTGGTAGACACGGTAAAGATGGAAGACCTGGTCGTGATTTTACTACTCCTAAAATTTATCTTATTGGTGATCCCGGTTACGATGGTCGCAAGTAAGTGTTTACTTAATAAAACAACTTACGAAATTATTATAATATAAATATTTTTAACATTTTTAGAGGTGAAATGGGTGAGCCTGGTGATGTGGGTCCTAAAGGTGAAAAAGGTGAACCTAAGCCTGGAGAAATTTATGAGAATAAAGGTCAACATGGTGACAAAGGTTATCCTGGTGAACCTGGCCCACCTGGTCCAAAGGGTGAAGCTGGTACTAAGGGTGCTGAAGGCGCTCGCGGTGATGTTGGTTTTCCTGGAGACACAATTACTGGTCCTCCCGGTTTCAAGGGTTGGCCTGGTATTATTGGTGATATTGGTTTACATGGCTCTCCTGGTTTACCAGGTCGCAATGGAGCTCCCGGTATCGATGGACTCAGCGGTAGTAAAGGTGTTCGTGGTGATCCCGGTCCAAACGTTTTGGCTGGTGAAATCGGTCCCGACGGTCTTCCTGGTCCAGCTGGTATCACTGGTGATATTGGTTTTAATGGATTCCCCGGTCCTTCTGGCAAACCTGGTGTTAAAGGCGTTAAAGGTACTAAGGGTGACAATGGTCCCTTCGGTCTACAAGGTCTGCCTGGTAACAAGGGTATGCGTGGTGATACTTTAATGGGCAGACCTGGTATGGCTGGTGCTCCTGGTCGCGACGGTCGTGTTGCTCCTCATGGCCGCAAGGGTCAAAAGGGTGAAACTGGCTACCCCGGTCCTGATGGTGTACAAGGTGCCAAAGGTAATATTGGTTATACTGGTCGTCGTGGTCCCGTTGGTGACAAAGGTTTCGCTGGTGTTCCTGGTCTTATGGGTATGCAAGGTATTGTTGGTATTCCTGGCGTACAAGGTGATCGTGGTGATCTTGGTGAAGATGGTCGTCATGGCGATATGGGTCCAAGAGGTGCTATCGGTAACATGGGTCCTAAAGGTAAATTAATTCGTTTACATTTCCCTAGCAACTTAATATAAATATATTATGTATTTTCTGTAGGTCAAAGTGGTGATATTGGTGGTTTCGGTCGTCCTGGTTTTGACGGTGTGCCCGGCCGTAAAGGTCAACTTGGTGATAAAGGTTTCATGGGTCCCGTTGGTCCTAAGGGTTTTGCATCTCGCAGCGGTATTAAAGGTGAAGCTGGAGATATGGGATACACAGGTCCTCGTGGTTATGATGGTTTGCCTGGTGAAAAGGGTATTCAGGGTCTTCCTGGTGATGAAGCTTACGGCAACGATGGTTTACCAGGAAGAAAAGGAGAAACTGGAGCACCTGGTATTCCCGGTCTTGATGGTCTCCCAGGTCTTAAAGGTGAGCGCGGTGACCATGGTGTTATGGGTTTCACTGGTGAAGTAGGTGATCGTGGTGATGAAGGCGTTCCTGGATATCCAGGCAGACATGGTGCCCCAGGTCCAAAAGGTGCTGTTGGTGTTATCGGTCCCATGGGTGCGCAGGGTGAAGTTGGTGAAAGAGGCGAGATTGGTTTTGCTGGTTATGATGGACCCCGTGGTGATCGCGGTGAGACCGGTATGCCTGGTCCATTTGGTCCCCAAGGTGAACAGGGTGATGAAGGTATGCCTGGTCGTCCTGGTGTGTTGTTGGTTGCTTATGCCGAAGTAGGTCAAAAGGGTGAACCTGGCTTGAGAGGAGAAATGGGTCCAATGGGTGAACAAGGTATTGACGGAGCCCCAGGTTACCCTGGTCGCAAGGGTGAATATGGTGATATTGGCTTAGCTGGTGTCCCTGGTGTTGATGGATATGCTGGAGCTAAGGGTGAACGTGGTGATAAGGGTTACCCCGGTGCCCCAGGTATAACACCCGACTTTGCTGAACCTGGTGATGAAGGTGATACTGGTTATGATGGTCTTCCTGGCCGCCCTGGTCGCGTAGGACCCAAAGGTGCTCCAGGTGATATGGGCGAATATGGTATGGACGGAGAAATGGGTGAAATGGGCATAAGCATCATGGGTATCAAGGGTGTCACTGGTGATATTGGTTATCCTGGTCCCATGGGACGTAACGGTTTACACGGTATGGCTGGTTTGAAGGGTATGATGGGTGAGACTGGTCCCAGAGGTATGCGTGGTGATGCTGGTATGGTTATACCCGGTTTGCGTGGTGACAAAGGTGATACTGGACCCCAAGGTGCACCTGGTTTTGATGGCCGAAAAGGTGAACGCGGTATGCCCGGTACCCCAGGTCGCACTGGACCCGTCGGTCCTCGTGGTCCTCGCGGCCCTGTCGGTGATCCCGGTTGGAACGGAGGTGATGGTTTAGATGGTCTCAGAGGTGTTAAGGGTGAACCAGGTGTAACATTCCCCTTCAATATGGCTCGTAAAGGCGATCGTGGTGAACATGGTTTGGATGGTTTCAAAGGTGCAATGGGTGATATGGGCGTTGAAGGTGAAATGGGCTTCCAAGGTGCTCGCGGAGCAAAGGGCTACCAAGGTGATCAAGGTCTGATGGGTTTGGCTGGTGCAGATGGTCCAAAAGGTGAACGTGGTATGATCGGTGCTCCTGGTTTAACAGGTCTACAAGGTATTCGTGGTCCTAAGGGTTACACTGGTGAACCAGCTCCACCACCACCACGCGCCAAGAGTCGTGGCTTCATATTTACCCGTCATTCACAATCCGTTTATGTGCCTAAATGTCCAGCCAACACTCAAAAACTCTGGGAAGGTTATTCGCTTGCCGGTAACATCGGTAACAGTCGAACTGTTGGCCAAGATTTAGGTAGAGCTGGTTCCTGTTTGATGCGTTTCAGCATGATGCCCTACATGATGTGTGACATTAACAACGTCTGCAATTACGGTCAAACTAACGATGACAGTTTATGGCTTGGTACAGCCGAACCTATGAATGTCGCTATGACACCCATACAGCCTAATGAAATTCAGAAATACATCTCACGGTAAGTTGATTTTGTTCAATATGTGTCGAAACCTCTTCTAATGATTAATTTATGTTTCAGTTGCGTTGTGTGTGAGACCTCAACTCGTGTTATTGCTATGCACAGTCAAAGTATGAGTATACCCGAATGTCCCGGAGGTTGGGAAGAAATGTGGACCGGTTACAGTTACTACATGGTAAATGAGTATTATTTTAAGAAATAGGAAAACTAAGTAATACAATGGATTAAATTTCCCTTTTAGACAACCACTGATAACACTGGAGGCTTTGGCCAAAATCTGGTTTCTCCCGGTTCCTGTTTGGAAGAATTCCGTGCTCAACCCGTTATCGAATGTCACGGTCAGGGACGTTGCAATTATTTTGATCCTGTATTCTCATTCTGGTTGGCGGTAATTGAAGAACAAGAAATGTGGTCAATGCCCAGACAACAAACTTTGAAAAAGGATCAAACAAGCAAAATCAGCAGGTGAGTTATCGGTGGCATTGTTAATATATAAATTTAACTATAATTTACGATTTCTTTATTTGAAATTCCAGATGTACTGTTTGTCGTCGCCGTAATGATTCTTATATTACACGTCAAGCCACCTTAGACTCATCGGCCCGTGAATTCAGACGTGGCCGTGAGCGTGTTGTTCCCGCCCCTCAGGCTGCCCCAGCACCAACATCATCACGTCGTACAAACCCCTACAACGGTAGACGAACTGCTCCACGCACTAATGGCTATGGGCGCGTCAATCGCTACCGGTATCCCAGATCAGATACCACTGCCCCCTAGATTTTAGACAAAATTCCATTACAAAAAATGTCTTATTTTGCTCTACATTTTTAATCTAAGTAGCCGTAAATTAATCAAAATCAAAAAATCCCCAAACGTAATTTTTTTTCCTTGTAATTTTAAGTTGTAACGAAACAAATCTGCCATTATTCTCTGAGTGTGCCATCTTTTTTTTATTAAAGCATATAAATACAAAACTAATAAAAAAAAAAAACAAAACTATGAAATAAAAACTTAATTGCATAATGAAATTTAAACAAAAATATTTTAAATGTATTGTTTGAATAACACTACCACTTTTAACATTTTTTCTATTTGACTCCTGAAAATTTTCCTTAATTTTGTTTTTGTTTCTTTAACATACTGCCCCCAAATTGTTGTACATATATAATGCAAAAAAAAAAAATATTACAAATTAATTTAGTTAACGAGAAAATAAAGCATAAAGAAGAAAGTAACTTAGTTTAAGTTATAAAAATATTTCAAGAATTTTATAATGCATTTTTTATCTAAATAAAAATGATAATAAATATTTACACAAAAACACAATAAATGAAAACTTAAAAAATAAAAAAAAAAATTATTAAAAAAATTATGATCAGCTCAAATGATTGTGATCAACGATTTTTATTATTCTCTTAATAGGAGCGTTATGTAAGAATCAACAGGCGATTTTAGTTTTCTTCTATCAAAATTGATTTTTTGATGAAAAATACAAGTGATCACAGATTTTCACTAATTTCTCGATCGGAACGTTACTTAAGGAACTAAAGGCGATTTTAGTTTTCATATATAAAAATGGATTTTTGTTGGCAAAATGAAAGTGATCATAGATTTTTACAATTTTCTCAATTGCAGCGTTATATATTTCTTATATAAAAGTTGGTTTTTATTTATCGGAAATACAAGTGAATATTTTCATTATTTTCTCAATTTTCAATCTACAGCCGATTTTGGTTTTCTTATCTTCTATATATATAAAAGAGTAACGTTACTGACTGACTGATTCATCATCGCACAGCCCAAACGGCTGAATCTAGAATCATGAAATTTTGACAGTAGATGTGCTCTTGGTTATGTAGATCCACTAAGTAGGGATTTTTGGAAATTTGTACATTTACGGGTAAAAAGGGGGAAAAAACGGGTAAAACAGGTTTTCTTAATTATCTTATACAAGTAAAATTTTAAATGCACCTGTATCTACTCTTAAAATGAGCTGATGGGTATCTGGCACTTTTTTGAAATTCATACTTTTAAGGGGTAAAAATGTGTAACTAAAGTGATTTTGGTACCTTTTTTTGGCCCTTTATAACTTTTGAAATAATTAACATTACATTTTTATAAATATTTTGGATACATCTCCCAAAATTATGAGACACCAGTTTCGTACTTTTTTTAAATTCAATCCTTTTTGGGTGTAAAAGGGAGAAAACTGTATTTATGGTACTTTTTTTTAGCACATTAAGATAACTTTTTCGGTTTATGGAATTATTCCTATTAAATTACGGACTAACTCTGTAATATTTATTGTAATAAAATTTTTGCTATTTCACTGGGTAAAAAAGTACCAAAAAGGGAAAAAACGGGAAATTTAATTTTATTCAAACTCATTGAGCCAATTTTTATAAAATTTCAAAAAGTAGTTTATTTACTCACACAAAATAAACTATTGGTATATTATTTTGGAATTCGAGTACTAAGGCCTATATAGGACCAAATTCGTGTAAATTGTTTGGTACCTTTTTGAAAGCACAATTTTTCTGAAACAAACGAATGCAGATTTCAATCGTTTGAGTTTTATCTGTGATATATAGATTTAAATACGGAACATTTTGTAAACTTAATTCTCGAAAAAGTATATTTCTAAGCGAAAAGGGGAAACATTGTACTCTTTTTATTAGTACTTTCCACTTAGGTAAAATTTATTCCACTTTTGGTACTTTTTATACCCACCATCAAAAAAGATGGGGGGTATATTGATTTTGTCATTCCCTTTTGTAACACATCGAAATATTGGTCATAGACCCACAAAAGTATATATATTCTGGGTCCTCATTAAATTCTAAGTCGATCTAGCCATGTCTGTCCGTCTGTCTGTCTGTCTGTCTGTCTGTTGAAAGCACGATAGAGTCCCAATGGAAAGAGCTAGAGGGTTGAAATTTTACATAAATATTTCTAACAGGTAAGGTTTGTTTGGTATTGAAAATGGGCAATATCGGTCCACATTTTCTGATAGCCCCCATACAAGTGGCCCCTCGAAAAGCAGCTTTAACAGCCATAACTTGTTTAAAAATACGAATATAGCGATAAAATTCGTCATATGGAAGTTTCTTATGATCCAAAATCATTATGCAAAATTTTATGAGGATCGGTTCATAATTGACCCTACCCCCCATATAAGGTCCCCTTCAGAAAATGACTTTAACGCTCATTACTGGCTTAAAAATACTAGTATATAGATGAAATTCGACATAAGTAAGTTTCATACGAGTCAAAATCTATCTAAAAAATTTTATGAGGATAGGTCCATGATTGACTCTACCCCCCATATAAGGTCCCCTTTAGAAAATGACTGCAACGCTCATTAATGGCTTAAAAATACGAGTGTAGCGATGAAATTCGACACAAATAAATTTAATACGAACCAAATTCTGTCTACCAAATTATATTAGGATCCACCCATAATTGACCCTACCCCCTATATAAGGTCCCCTTCAGAAAATTTAACGCTTATAACTGGCCTAAAAAATACGAGTATATAGATGAAGTTCGACATAAGTAAGTTTCATTCTAGTCAAACGAGGTTTGATGGTGGGTATATAAGATTCGGCATTGCCGAATATAACACTCTTACTTGTTCTTCCTTCAAATGATACTTTATGTATGTTCTTTAATATGAACTCAAAACACATGATTATTAAACATACACGGTCCTCATTGAATAAGATTCTTTAAGAGACAACTTTTTTTAGTACTTTTTATCTCATAAATTGTACTTTTTTTAATTTTCTAAAATATTCAACCTAGGAACATTAATTTTAACATACATGGTCTTGACTGAAAAATATTCTGTAAGTGGGAACTATTTGGTTCTTTTCGATTCTTCAAATGGTACCTTTTAGATTCTTTATAATGGTTAACCGGAACACGGAATGAGAATTTATTGAGAGAGATTTTTGTACTTTTTCGTTTTTCCGATGGTACTTTTTGATATTTTTACGATATTGAAAATAAAATTTAAAATGTAGGGACCTTAGTGAATGAGTATCTACTGAAAGGAACTTTTGGTACTTTTTCATTCATCAAATTATATTTTTTGAATTGTATATAATATTGAACACAGAAACATAAAATTGTTTATTAAATGATGATCTATTAGAGGTATTTTATGGCACATTTTTTTCAAATATTACTTTCGAAATTTTCTATAATGTGGAAGCTAAAGCTTCTTACTGAATGCGAATTTAATCACGTGATATTGAACGTATAAAACTGAAACATTAAAAAAATGTTTAATCAATTTTAATTTTCTATAAAAGTAAACAAAATTTTGAATGTATTTAATTTAAGTTAGGGTAGCGAAGCACCCAGGGTATCCTTTATATTCCTGCATGTACTATAATTATTGTTGCACTACATTCATATCCAATTGTACCAAATATTTCATCCCTGCTACACTAGAACTTTTATTGTTCTTCTCTCTTACTTTAATGTTATGCGAACTTTCTTCGAATATGCATTTGTTTTCCTTAAGGGATGGTATCCCTTTAGAAAAGCTTTGAATTTACCAAGGGAAATGGAAAATCCAAAAGCAAAAGCCGGTTATAAAGAAACTAAGATATAAACATGATAAAACACGAAAATAAGAAAAAAGCAAACAGAGTAATGAACTAAAAAAACAAAGCAGCACAACAGAAAGGAAATTAAACAGATGGGGGTGAAAAAGTAAAAATAAAACAAGTAAGAAAGTATAGTCGGGCGTGGCCGACCATATGATACCCTACACCAGTTATGAATATTAAATGTGATTTATTTTTCATAATAAAGCATTTATCTTCAATATTCCCTTGTTCCGATACATTTAAGCAGTTTATGGATGAAAAACTAATTTTCTGAAAGAGGCTTTATATGGGGCTAGGGGCAAATATGGACCAAGCCCGATAAAATTCTGTGAATATATTTATATTTACATAATATTTTATTCTGCTAAATTTCATCGCGATATTTGTGTTTATAAGTAAATTTGGGACATTCAAGTAATTTTCTGAAGGGGACTTTGTATGGGAGCTAGGGTCAAATGGGGCCCGATCTTTATGAAAATTGGCAGGGTCATCAAGACTACTATAAAACTTAGTTGTGCCGCATTTTATCGATATATCTGTATATTTAACATAATTATGAGCTCAAAAGCCCTTTTCGGGGGGTTCTGTTCTATGGAGGCTAGGTGAAATAATGGACCGATTTTAACCATTTTCAAAAGGCTTCGTCCTTGGGTCAAATAAAACGTGCGTGCCAAATTCATCCAATTATCTTGAAAATTGCGACATGTACCTTGCGCACAAGGTTTACATGGACAGCCAGCCAGCCAGCCAGCCAGACGGACGGACGGACGGACATAGCTTAATCGACTCAGAAAACGATTCTAAGCCGATTGGTATACTTTAAGGTGGGTCTAGGACGAATATTTTTGTATGTTACAAACATCAGCACAAATCCAATATACCCTCCCCACTAAAGTGGTGTAGGGTATAAAAACTAAAAACGATAACGATTACACATCAGATATAAATGTATGTACAATTGTTGTAGTTGTTTGTTGTTGTACATGGTCGACGATAACAAAATAAGGGTAGATTGATATGGGTTGTGCAAAACAAATAAGCAAGTGGTAAACTGGGTGTTTGCCCTTCGTCTCAACAGAAGTCAAATTGGAATAGAGAAAAACAGACGTGTTTTAAAAGCGTTTGTCAAGTTAGCTCTACGAAATAATTTAGAAATTTTATTTGTATTTCGTTCAACAATATTTTAGTTGAAGTGATTTTAAGTTTATACAATAGTTTATTAATAAAAAAATTATAAAAATAATTAATATTACTATAAAATAAAACTAGTTTTTTTACCAAATCCAATTAGAATTAAAGGAAAATCTTTAAAAATTTTCCAGCTAGAAAAATCTGAAATATTAAATCAGCAGCATTAACGAAAACGCCACCAAAGAGAATTTACAGTAAATGAAAGAAAACTAAGAAACAGCCCTTAAATTACGAACAAGTGAAACACCCCCCCAAACGAAAAAAGAAAATAACACAAAACCTCAACATTAAACTTACGCACTCTTGCTTGCCTACAACGTCATCATCAACGGCGACAGCTTTAAAGAGCAAAACAAAAAATTTTCTAATTACATCTGAATGATTATCGTGCTGCTTTTATTTTTCAAATCAATCTGTCTTTATTGTCAACGTTTAGTTTTACATATACATGACCGATGGATCAATCCAAAAAATGTGCGGCTGCTAAAGGAAGCTGCTGAGGCCAAAGGCTCCAAATTTCAAATAGAAGAATATCGTCAAGTTAAGAAATCGAAAAGAAGACGTTACGCAGCCAGCTCAGCATCGGCTAACATATCACCCCTTTCCAATTCACTGGCAGACAGTGATAATTGTCGTTTTTGTGCCAATACGCCACAAGGTTACTGTCGTCATCATTTTCATTTGCAAGAGTTACAAGTACAAAAACAACAACGACAACAGAAATTCTGGTGTCCCTTGTCTGGTGTGGTTAACGGCTCTAATCGCTCGACAGAATATCGTCAATTGCGTAAAATAAAACGGGAACTTAAACGTAATATCCAGCAGCAGCAACAACTAAAATCGTCTAAAGCTCAAACAATTATATATGAACCTACCACCTACTCAACCACCAACACTTACCCGCCCCCATCTAGTTCACCTTCGGATCCAACCTATCAATCAAATAGCTTGAATTCATCGTATTGCATTAATGATTCAGGTTATCAAACGATATCTGTAAGCACTTCATCTACCTTAGAAAGCGAAGAAAATAGTGACTTATTACAACAGCAACAACAATCAGAATTAGCCTCCATAGTCGATTCCAATTCCATTCATGATTATGTCGATATAGAATTGCCTTCACCGTCTGCATCGCTAGTGGAAACTACTTATAGTTTTGAAACATGCTGTGAAACACCACAACGTTCGCCCGCCTCCAACTCTAACGCCACACCAATTCCAAAGACTGCATCGTACAATAGTTTTGTGTCATGTGAATATTCGACATTGTCTACATCTTATTTGTAGAAAGAGGAAAATTTCAATATCTTCTAGTAGCAGAATATCGGGTAAGTTGAGGATAAAGCCCTTTTTTCTCTTTAAAGTGAAATTAATATAAGTAAAAAATTAAAAGGAATCAGTGGATTTCGTGTAATTTACGATATACGACTGCCTTTGAAATCTCCCACATTAAATTGTTCCTAGATTAAAGGATTAACCGATATTGATATCAAATTTTTACCTAACCTAGTATCTTAGTTTAAGTGAAAAATGTCTCGGGCTGATGACAGAGTGCCTGCTATAAGCGACGCGAAGCTTTGTGCTACAAAATTTTGCTTGTGTTTCCTCGCATCAAGCTTCGCTTTCACTCTGATTTGACACATAGGAAAACACAAGGAAAAGTTTATATTGCTTGTAGCAAGCACTCTGACATCAGCCTTAGTACCCCCATTACCATTATCAAATCAAGCATGTTATGGAGTAAGGAAAGATAATTTACTTCAACCCCTCCAAAACCCCTCCAAATCCTATGAGGTGAGGAAATTAATTGATATTAAATTCTCCTTTGAAGCCCTTATATCGAGCAATGCCGTAATTTTAGACTTTAAACATTCGATAAATGTAATCAGCTTTAATAAGACCTATTCCGATTGCTGATAATAGATTTATCCATTTTGTACACTGACAGACTTGTCATTATATTAAAGATCACAACACCCCAGGTCAGTCTGAAGACAATGCTGGCTCTACCAGCACTCCAGACAATTATCGAGTGTATTATTTTCGAAAGTCGGACCCATTGATAAATATGTAGACATCGGAATGCCAATAAGCGAACGCTGCACTGACAAACCAAATCTCTTGGGTCAACATGATCTCTTAAAAACTATTACACATGCTGAATCGACTATGCTCTCCGATGTGCTGGGTCTTTGGTCTCTTATTAGTTCGCTTTGTTTTACAGACAGAAATTTATGGCGTCGACATGGTCGTATTTTCAACTTTAACTTAATGTAGGTTAGATTATCAGCTTTACTTAAGTCCAAGTTGATCCCTTTGTAAAAATACAAAGATACAAAGAAGAAAATTAGGATAGGGAAAAGTAGAAAAGAGAGAAATAGAAAGGCAGAGACGTGACTACAAAGACTGATTAGTGCGAATACCAAAGTTCACACCCATTCTGACAAATTTATGAATGCCATAAGACTTTCCAATTGGATATTCGACAATTCGGATAGATCGCCAAAATAGGCTGATCCAAGCGTCCGAATACGGGTCTCTGCCAAGGCAGGTCAATTACAGAGAAGATGAGACATAGTCTCTTCTTCATCCTCATTTTGACAACTCCTACAGAAATCATTTAACGGAAGACCAATGCGTCTAGCATTGGTTTCCAAATTTACAGTGACCAGTAACAACCGATACCAGCTTACCTAGTCGTGGTCTTTGGAGACCAAGGAAATATTTAGACCTGCATGGATCTATATGTGGATCTATATACGAGCAATAGTCCGCTAAGCGTGGTACCAGCTCTTGCCAAGGTGTCAGGAATATTATTGTCATATGAAATCCCGTGTCTCCTGACCCAAATTAGGGTGATGTTCGAATGTCTCGCCATCTTGTTGAGAGACGTCCGGCATTTATGGACAATTCTAGATGTGTAAAACACACCAATTAGGGATTTAACAGCAGCTTGACTATCAGTACAAATTCTGATATCCCTGTTAGATATCCGATAGTACCTTAGCCAATTCGACGCCCTCTTTATCGCTGATATTTCAGCTTGAAGGATACTAGTCATTATTGCCACCACCAAATTTTGCATAAATAACTTTAATTTAAACGAAAATCTCTCTACAAACATTTATAAAGATAGGTCCATATTTACCCGTGACCCCGCATAACCCATCTTTCAGAAAATCCCTTTTTTGTCAAAAAATTGTTTAAATAGTTTACAATTAAGGCGAAAAAAAAACATAAATGCTTTATTATTAAAAATAATCCAAATTTTTTACATACTACAGAGGATTTAGGGTGTCGTATGATCGGTTATGCCCGACTATTTTACATTCTAACTTGTTTTCACCTTAAAACATGTGGTATAGTTATGAAAATTAGTATATTTTTAAATGAAAATAGTACTAGTGAACCAATAGTCCATGACTCTAGCCGAAGTCGACCGTAATATCAGAAATTTTGCTGCATCTCTTCTAACGTTGTTGACAAAGACCAGCGCACGTCCTTCCGTAATGTGGGACAATTTCGCAGATCGAAACGCTACGTAGTTGCGATAGAGCTTGAAAACAGCTCGTTTGTGATTTTGGCTCGACAAAGAGTGACAAGAGAGCTACATATTTGTAAGCAATGCTGTGAAAGCAAGAGAGTAAGAGAGCGATATCGGCTTTAGTTTATCGAAATAAAACATTCTTGCCTTAAATCGCCGCAAGAAACCATTTGGGTTAAACCATTACATTAAACGAATAAAATCACAATAACAACAAACCCATTTTCTTTTACATTTTCCAACTACATACCACTTTAATAAACCAGTTTTCTATTCATTACAGGTACTCAGAAATCATCTATAACAAGGACTAGAAAACAATTATTGCAAAAAAGAGAAATTTGCTGCACTTATAGAAATCAATAAAAAACAAACAATACTTGAAAACGTTTTGTAAAAAGAAAAATCTTATCGATAAAGGACACTTGAGAAACTACTCCAAGAATAGTAAAAAAATACATACATAGAAAAAAAAAAACAAAAATACAAATGAGAACATTCAAATTGTTAAAGTAAAAACAAAAACTTAAGCAAAAAAAAAACAAATTTTGCAAACTTAAAACAGGACAGCAACAACACGAAAATAATGACTTCAAGTGGCAGCAGCAGCAGTACAACCTCGCCGAATACATCACCTCGTCAAAGAAAACGTTCAACACGAACGAATAACAGTTCCCTAACAGCAGCAACTAAACGTCTGAGTAATAAAAAAGTGATTATACCCCTAGAACAAGGTTGTGAGGACAATTGGACCTGGAGTAGGCGGCATCGATCGAAAGAAGTGGTATTGAGTGGCACAAATGATCGTACCGTACACTTTCATCCCAACTGGAGTAAAGGTACCGCTGGTGTTCAGGGTAAAAGACCCCTTAATAATGGACGTTTCTATTGGGAACTACATGTATCGCAGAGAATTTTTGGCACTAGCATAATGTTTGGCATAGGAACGCGTAGGGCACGCCTGCATGCCAATTCATTTCGCAATATTTTGGGTGAAAACGAACATGGCTGGGGTTTATCCCACAAGGGTGTGTTGTGGCACAAAGGTGTGGCTCTATTATACACAGATCGTTTTAAAGAGAATCAAGCCACTGTGGTGGGCATATTATTCGATGGCATCGAGGGCACCTTAACCTATTACAAGGATGGCAAATGTTTAGGTGTTGCTTTTCGGGGTTTAGATAAGGTAAGTTTTTGGGCGTACAACACAAACTTGATTACATAATAAATTTCTCCATTTCTCTTAACAGATCAAGGAACCCTTATATCCCATTGTTTGCTCAACAGCCGCCAAAACTGAAATGACTTTAAATAGTACACGCAGTGATATTGGTCATTTACAAGATCGTTGTCGTGCCGAAGTTATGAAACACATTAAGTCCCGACAAGATCTTGTAAAACTTAAATTACCTTCAATTATAACAAATTATTTAAGCGAAGCCTTTAATGATAATGTTCCACTGCGTCAGGTAGACAACTATGATATGCTTTATGAATTTTAGAAAGTTTTATTATTAGTAGTACATGCAGGGCAAAACCAAATAACCAAAAGATAACTGTTTCAAATCAACTTAAATTTATATAGAAAACCGTGAAGCTTACAGTGCCATTTCAAGAGAAAAAAACAAACAAATATTTTCATACCGCAGACATGATTTGCTCTTAAATTGTATTATATAGAGGCTGCAAAATATATTAAAAATACAAATAGTATTAAAGTCCAAAAGAGTTGGGTCTCGAAAGTCAGTGGTAGATCGAAAAAATCATTGATTTTGAAAATCCAGATCAGTAAAGGACTTTCAAGTTGCACCGTTTTCTATGAGGATAGCATTGGATTGCTTGACATCTCTGAATGACTGTATTAGATATCTGGCTCAGTGGAATGATTTTCTAAACAGACACGCTTGATTTTCTGGGTTTTTGGAATCTTTTAGGGATACACTGACAGTTATTTGAGCCTCATCCACATGCCATAGCAAAACTCAAACAATTGAGTCTTTAATAATAGATTTTTCATGTACCCAAACTAGTGAATTTTTAAAGAACATTTCTCTTTACCGCGTTGGAAATACACCACAGGAAAACAGGGAGAAGAGTGAAGTGACTAGACCTCAGACTACCAGGAACCCTAAAGGCACAATCCAGTCTGAACTAGAATGTCTTTGTATTATAAAGCGTGGCTAAGCCAAACCTGAAGAATGATTTAACCTGCTAATCATTCTTCAGGCATTCGGAAGATCGTAGTACTTTTGATGATCAATAAGTTGCGCGTGAAAGAGCCGATTTCAATTGCGTTTCATAGGAAGTTCCATAGAGTTACTAATGGATTTCACTTAGTAGCATAAATCAAGTTCGAAGAAAAACTTATGAAGAATTACCGCATCAGTATTTGATCGTTTGATGATCATGATCGAGAGTACTTATAGAGATATGGATGGATTACACTTTGTATTATAAATGAAGAAAAACTTATGAATAATTACCGGAACAGTATTTGATCGCTTGGTGATCATGAGTGAATCTTTTTGTCTACTTTTGATGATCAATACGTTACGCTTTTGAAATAGAAATCGAAAATGATTTTCAATGATGCTTATCAGAAAAGATCCTCATGAAGGATTCGATTTCGATTACGTTTCATAGGAAGAAAATTTGAATCGTTTGGTGATCATGAGTAAGTTTTTTTAACTACTTTTTATAATCAATAAGTTGTCATGATGGCTCTTCATAGATTAGTCGAGTATATAATAGTTCGATTACTTTCGATAGGAACAAAATTGATCAGTGATCAGTGCTCGTTCAACATAGGAATCGAATGTTTGGTAATCATGAATGAGTCTTTTCAACTACTTTGATATAGGAATCGAAAATGGTTTTCAATGATGCTTATCAGAAAAGATCCTCATGAAGGATTCCAGTGGAAGATTCGATTTCGATTACGTTTCAAAGGAACAAAATTTTAATCGTTTGGTGATCATGAGTGATTATCAACTACTTTTTATAATCAAAAAGATGCGCTTTTAAAAGAGGAATCGAAAATTATTTTCAATGATGCAAGAAAGATCCGCAAGATGGATCCTCATAGAGGAGTCGAGTATATAATACATATTACGATTACTTTCGATAGGAACAAAATTGATCAGTGATCGTTTAACAGAGGAATATAATATGATTTTGTTTGATGATCAATCAGTTGCTGGCTTCAGATAGCTATCGATAGGTATAAAAACGATCTACAACTTTTTTTCTAAAACAAATAACTGTTTTATCATTTGCGCAATTAAAGAAAGGACTTGAGTACTCCCAAAATCTTTCTAGAAAGTTTTTTTAGTGTATACCAACTACCGATCTAGATTAAAAACAATGATTTTTTTAAATCCTACACTAGCTATTCGAGCAATTTGGAAATTATTTCAGTTTTATAGAAGACAAAAAAGCTTCAAAATTGTATTATATAGATATCCCCCAGAAAAATATGCTTAAATAATTAAAAGTATATTCAAATACTAGTCATTTACAAAAAAGTAAAAACTAAAATAGTCAAATAATATTTTATTTTTATATTTATAATTAATTAACTAATAATTAAACATAAAAGACAGGCCAATTTGGTGCAATATTGTGATATAAGTTGTATTATTTTGTTATTATTTGAATTGTTTAATTAACTGATTTTGCTTATTTAAAAAAAGTATGCAATTTTAAATAAAACTAGACAAATTATTTTTATTTAATTTTAAAAATTATAATTTTTCGTAAAATATATTAAGAACAAAAAAAAAAAAAAACAAAATTCCTTTTTAGAATATACAACAGGCCTATACTGAATAATAATATCCCGGGGAATTTGTTTTCTCGGGGAAATATTGCTCATAAATGGCATGACTAAGTTATTTTGCATTTAATTTGCTGTAATTTTGATAAAAACAAAGAAAACATATTTTGTTTTTAAATTTCGTATATATGTTAAATTAAAGGAAAAAAGTCAAAAACTAATTTCTTGAAAGAAAGGCATCTATCTAGTCATTTTAGCTGTATAATTATTTTCTAAACTAGTCAAAGAAATATATATAAACTATATATGTATACACAACTATTTAAGTTTTATGTATTGAAGAAATAAATAATTATTGTTAAAAAAAAAGAAAATAATAAAGAAATTCATGTAATCTTAATAATTGTAACAAAATGTGTTTAATATTGTTTTTAACAAAAAGTTTGAACAATTTTTTCAATTTCACTAAAATTCTATAGATTTTCTTCTCAACTGAACTAAAACTGAACAAGAACTAAACTAGAACTGAACTAGAACTGAACTAGAACTGAACTAGAACTGAACTAGAACTGAACTAGAACTGAACTAGAACTGAACTAGAACTGAACTAGAACTGAACTAGAACTGAACTAGAACTGAACTAGAACTGAACTAGAACTGAACTAGAACTGAACTAGAACTGAACTAGAACTGAACTAGAACTGAACTAGAACTGAACTAGAACTGAACTAGAACTGAACTAGAACTGAACTAGAACTGAACTAGAACTGAACTAGAACTGAACTAGAACTGAACTAGAACTGAACTAAACTGAACTAGAACTGAACTAGAACTGAACTAGAACTGAACTAGAACTGAACTAGAACTGAACTAGAACTGAACTAGAACTGAACTAGAACTGAACTAGAACTGAACTAGAACTGAACTAGAACTGAACTAGAACTGAACTAGAACTGAACTAGAACTGAACTAGAACTGAACTAGAACTGAACTAGAACTGAACTAGAACTGAACTAGAACTGAACTAGAACTGAACTAGAACTGAACTAGAACTGAACTAGAACTGAACTAGAACTGAACTAGAACTGAACTAGAACTGAACTAGAACTGAACTAAAACTGAACTAGAACTGAACTAGAACTGAACTAGAATTGAACTAGAATTGAACTAGAATTGAACTAGAACTGAACTAGAACTAGAACTGAACTTGAACTAGAACTGAACTAGAACTGAACTAGAACTGAACTAGAACTGAACTAGAACTGAACTAGAACTGAACTAGAACTGAACTAGAACTGAACTAGAACTGAACTAGAACTGAACTAGAACTGAACTATAACTGAACTAGAACTGAACTAGAACTGAACTAGAACTGAACTGAACTGAACTAGAACTGAACTAGAACTGAACTAGAACTGAACTAGAACTGAACTAGAACTGAACTAGAACTGAACTAGAACTGAACTAGAACTGAACTAGAACTGAACTTGAACTGAACTTGAACTGAACTTGAACTGAACTAGAACTGAACTAGAACTGAACTAGAACTGAACTGAACTGAACTAGAACTGAACTAGAACTGAACTAGAACTGAACTAGAACTGAACTAGAACTGAACTAGAACTGAACTAGAACTGAACTAGAACTGAACTAGAACTGAACTAGAACTGAACTAGAACTGAACTAGAACTGAACTAGAACTGAACTAGAACTGAACTAGAACTGAACTAGAACTGAACTAGAACTGAACTAGAACTGAACTAGAACTGAACTAGAACTGAACTAGAACTGAACTAGAACTGAACTAGAACTGAACTAGAACTGAACTAGAACTGAACTAGAACTGAACTAGAACTGAACTAGAACTGAACTAGAACTGAACTAGAACTGAACTAGAACTGAACTAGAACTGAACTAGAACTGAACTAGAACTGAACTAGAACTGAACTAGAACTGAACTAGAACTGAACTAGAACTGAACTAGAACTGAACTAGAACTGAACTAGAACTGAACTAGAATGAGCTGAACTGAACTAGAACTAGAACTGAACTAGAACTGAACTAGAACTGAACTAGAACTGAACTAGAACTGAACTAGAACTGAACTAGAACTGAACTTGAACTGAACTTGAACTGAACTTGAACTGAACTTGAACTGAACTTGAACTGAACTTGAACTGAACTTGAACTGAACTTGAACTGAACTTGAACTGAACTTGAACTGAACTTGAACTGAACTGTACTGAACTTGAACTGAACTTGAACTGAACTTGAACTGAACTTGAACTGAACTTGAACTGAACTTGAACTGAACTTGAACTGAACTTGAACTGAACTTGAACTGAACTTGAACTGAACTTGAACTGAACTTGAACTGAACTTGAACTGAACTTGAACTGAACTAGAACCGAACTATAACTGAGGTAGAACTCAACTGAAACTTAACCAGAAATGTACTAGAACTGAACTAGAATTAATCTAGAACTGAACTAGAATTAATCTAGAACTGAACTAGAACTGAGCTAGTACCGAAGTAGAACTGAAATAGAACTGAATTAGAACTGAACTAGAACAAGAACTGAACTAGAAATGGACTGAGCTAGAGCTGAACTAAAACTGTACTAAACGAAACCTTAAGTATTTTAGAAATTTCAGCTAATGAAAGGTTTCGGAAACAAACTTTCTATTTACCAGTAATACATAAAACCAATGTTCACTGTCAGTTTCCTATCAGGTAAAAACTTTGGGAGTAACTCCGAATTTCGATTCGAAAGAAAAAGCTTTCGGAACACAGTGTATTTAACATACAAATTCGAACATTAATGCATTCGACTCGAGTTACAAAATAACCCCCCTTTTACGGTTATCCTTACCCGTTAATAAAAAGAACAACATATATTTAAATGTTTATAATCATACAAACTTTAGGTATATTTTTATTATTGTGTATTTGTTGATTGGTTTAATTGAACATTAAATTATTGGCATTAATAAAACTAATGATAAATTTTAAATAAAATAAATGTAAAAAAATACATTAAAAATAATAAAAAAAATGATAGCACTTTTAAATAAAACTAAAAGCTACATTTGGAGGTAATATGAAGTTAAGGTAGTTGTAAATCATAATAAAAAATAAATACGATCACTTATGTAAAGAACTTAAACGTTACACACAACACACACTTTACAATTCATCAGCCAAATGATGTATATTTTGTAAATGATCACCATAATCTGTTGCCTCACTACCCACAAATGTCTCATAGTTGTTAAGTATTTCAAAGTAAGACAAACGATCGTCATGATCTTCATCTGTTGACACAAACAAATGATCAACTTCATCGGTGGCCACCACATCATTACTGGGCACTATCCAACTCAAGACTTCATTGCCAGCTAATACACCATCACTATTTAAATCGTAATCCTTATCGAAACGTTCCTTTTCAGTGATCAACCATTCTTTGTCGTGATGTTCAGCGGTCTCCCCTACAAATTCTTTGAAATCAATTTTACCATCATTATTTTTATCCTTATCGCGCATTGTTTGTTCCAATACAACGGGTAACATTTGTGGGTGCTCTTCAGGATTTTGGAATAAAACGAATTCTTCGGAATTTAACATGCCATCCTTATTTAAATCGGCCGCTTGGAACATTTCCTTATCGTCTTTAATCATTTTTTGTTCTTCGTCGTAGCTATCGAAATCGATGACTTCTTTTTTGTAGTTTTCATCTTCCATGGCATAAACATCTAAAAGATATTCTTTCCAGGTCACTTGGTCATTGTTGTCCTGATCCATTTCTTCAAAACGATCAGCTGCCTCTTCTTCAGCAAGTTTTCTAAATATTTAAATTTTTAGGAATTTCTTTTTTATTTTGGTTTAAACTTTGTGAATATTTTTTTGTTAGTTTTTTGATTTAGTTAGTATTTTGGGAACTTGATGAAAATGATAATACACATGACTTTTAAAAGGGTGATTAGCAAAAAACAAAAATGTAAAAACAATAATGAACGAGATCCGAAAATGATGAAATGAACTGCAAAGATGTCCTGAAAACATCCACATCTTTCCAAAAAACATACATATATCAAAAGAATTTAATTCAATTAATTAATTTAATTGGCTTGACGCTTTAATTAAAATTTGTAATTATGTTCCTAACAATTAAAAAATCTTTAAAATTCCTCTTAAATCACGTAAAACTTTTGAACAAATGTACGTTTAAATTTGGTAATATTAAAACAATTTCATATTTAAGACTCTAAAATCGCATAAATTAACTTTTTGTATAAATAGCTTATGAAAATGACATAATGAAAGAAAGAAAGGTCGTTTAACTTCATTTAGAATATCGTTTGTTACCAGGTTATAAAACATTTTATAAATTGTTTCTATAACCTTAGGCTAAGCACGCATTATTTAATAAGTTATAGAACATAAGGGTGCGCAAACAAAAATATGCATAAATAAAATGAGTTTGTATTTTTGTGCTAAAGCATAAATTAAAAAGCAGCCGGCTTAAAAGCTTTAACGATTTGTGTGGTTAAAGAAAGAAGAAAGCATTAATAAAACACAAAATACAACAACTCACTTAAAAGACCTTAATATCCAGGCTTTCAGCTCATGACGATCGATGTATTGATCATTATTTAAATCCATCATACGTATTAAAACGGTTAAACGTTTCTTTGACTCCTCCGGTGATAAGTTATCGAATTCTTGGGCTTCTTTGACGTTGCCTGCAAATGGAAGAATTAATTGCAAGTCATAAATGTACTAAATTGAAACTGTACTAAAATTAAACTAAAACTGAAGTAGGACTGAATTGAAATCAAACTAGAATTAAACTGAATTAGAACTGAATTAGAACTGAACTAGAACTGAACTAGAACTGAACTAGAACTGAACTAGAACTGAACTAGAACTGAACTAGAACTGAACTAGAACTGAACTAGAACTGAACTAGAACTGAACTAGAACTGAACTAGAACTGAACTAGAACTGAACTAGAACTGAACTAGAACTGAACTAGAACTGAACTAGAACTGAATTAGAACTGAACTAGAAATGAACTAGAACTGAACTAGAACTGAACTAGAACTGAACTAGAACTGAACTAGAACTGAACTAGAACTGAACTAGAACTGAACTAGAACTGAACTAGAACTGAACTAGAACTGAACTAGAACTGAACTAGAACTGAACTAGAACTGAACTAGAACTGAACTAGAACTGAACTAGAACTGAACTAGAACTGAACTAGAACTGAACTAGAACTGAACTAGAACTGAACTAGAACTGAACTAGAACTGAACTAGAACTGAACTAGAACTGAACTAGAACTGAACTAGAACTGAACTAGAACTGAACTAGAACTGAACTAGAACTGAACTAGAACTGAACTAGAACTGAACTAGAACTGAACTAGAACTGAACTAGAACTGAACTAGAACTGAACTAGAACTGAACTAGAACTGAACTAGAACTGAACTAGAACTGAACTAGAACTGAACTAGAACTGAACTAGAACTGAACTAGAACTGAACTAGAACTGAACTAGATCTGAAATAGAACTGAACTGGAAATGAACTAGAACTGAACTGGAACTGAATTACAACTAAATTAGATTCAAACTTGAATTGATCTAGATCTGAAGACGAACTACAACAGCTGTCTAGAACAATTCTACTCCAAAAATGTTTTTCAACTTACCAATAATGGCTTCATGATCGAATTCTACATTGTGTTCACCATTTTCATGATGATGTGCATCTCTGGCCTGATAGACACCATCCTTGACACGTTCTTTGCTCGAGTGTTTTTCATGTTTATGTTGGGTTACGCCAGCATATGCTGGCATTGTGCTAACAACCAATATAAAGGCGGCACAAAACAGTAATAAAAATAATTTTGACATATTTGTAATGCTATTTAATTGTATTTAGTTAGTCTAAAATTTATATATTTTTCAGCATATATAGGACAACTATAACGCGCTTTTAATTAAATGTAAAAATTGTTCGAAACAAATTAATTATTTTCTGCAAAACACTTGAATTAATGGCAGCAGCCAGACGCACTCATTCACACACAGAGACAGGCAATGTGTTTATTTTCTGAGTCAATTTTCTTTTTAAAACTATAATACACGAGTTGTAGTAAAATTGCTTTTCCACAATACAGCTGTTTTTTAATTAATTGTTGTTTTTCTAATTTTCTGGCTTTTCTTCAAAATTAGACAATTGCTCATGGCATTAAATATGTGTCTGTCGTTTGTCAATGATATTTGGTGGTTGATGAAGAGGATGTTTATACAAGTGTTTTAAAATTTTATTATTATGTTTTCTTCTTCTTTTGGGTCTTTATTTATGTTATTAACTTTTAGTTTATTCTTTGGTGTTTTCTTAATTAATTTTGATAAATTTCCGGTTTTTATAAGAAAGGTGCGTGCGTTACTTGTGTCCCACAAGAGCTCATCTGAGCAACTGAAATTAAAATTAAGTAAAAAATTATAAATTTAAAGAAATGAATTTATTCTATTGAGAAAAAGAAATGTTTTTTTTTTTCTTTTGTATTGTGTATTGGATGCTGAGTAAATTTTGTTCTTTACCACGTCACTTTTTGTAGACGTGTTTGTGTGTCTTTGTATAAAAGATATGTTTTAGAATTAATTTATTATTTTTTTGGTTTATTTTGTGTCCTAAAGAAATGAACTCTTTTGACCTTAAGTATGTTTAAATTATCATACCTGCGAATGTGTTTATATATTTAATTTAGAATGAGTAAAATAGGATTCTTTTTCAATTTAAAAAAATTTGTTTTAATCTAATTGTATAAGAAACAGTGAGATTTATGTCTTGAAATGGAGCTGAGCTACAACTAGAAATGAAGTAGAACTGTACGAGAACTGCACTAGAACTGAACTTACTATAACTGAAGAACTAGAACTAAAATAGAAATGGAACTGAAGTAGAACAGAACCAGAATTAAACTAGAACCAGAAATGAAACTGAAGTAGAACTTAACTAGAACTGAACTAAAACTGAACTTAAACTGAACTAGAACTGAACTAGAATTGAACTGAGCTAGAAATGAACTAGAATTAAACAAAATGTGAACTGAGATAGAACTGATCTAGAATTAAACTAGATCTGAACTAGAATTAAACTATTTCCGAACTAGAACTGGAACCGAAAAAAATTGCACAAGAATTGAATTAATTACATTAAATGACTGACTTGTCTCATCTTTAAAAATGGTGCTGGGCATACATTTTAAATATAATACATTTTAAATATAAATAAGCCTTTTTAGAGTAAAATATTTCGACACTAAATACAGATGGAGTTTTTTAAAGCAAATCAAAATAAAATTTCCCGAAATTTCCATAAAAAGGCTATGAATGCCGGTGGCAAATAAAAGCAGCCATATGTGGTACTTTATTTGCATTTAAGACTTACCTTTATACCAGAAAATAAGTAATTTGTAGTTAATTTTTTATATTCAACGCATTTTTAATTTTTTGGAGTAACTATTCTAACATATTTATTGAAAACTTGTAAAAAAAAACTTCGACAGCGTCTTTTTTCAATTTGACTTACTTTTTTTAGTTTTTCTTTTTGCACTGGCAGCTGTCAATAAATCTGTTATCGATTTGTTTTGATAACTTTTGTTTTCTTTTTATGGTTTGAAGAGGATTGCTGCATAAAATAAACAATGGACTTTACAGTTTGGGAAGCATAGCTTAGTAATATAATATTTATATATACAGTACTTTCTATTATATTCCATCAGGTTTAAATTAACTGCGCATTGGCTCATAGTAAAAAAAATATTTTTTCTTTATTTCTACTATGTTTTTTGTTAAATTTATGTAATTTGTATAAAAATTTATAAATTTTGTTGCTTTAATTTGTGCTATATATTGTTAACCGCCGCCAAAGTAAATTTATAAAGTAGACTCATTTGAACAGCTGACTATTTTTCTTAAACTTGCTATTTGTGGACTTACTTGTCAAAAATGTTTATGTTGCCATATTTGTTTTCATTTTAACGCTTGCTTTTGTACAAATTTCTGAGTAATTTGTTGTATTTAATGTGAAAAAGTGTATTTTAAATGTATAATATTTTTAAAAATGTTCTAATTTTTAAAAAATAAAGAAAACTCTGTGACTTTTAATATAAATAACAACATATTTTTGGAAAGTACAACAATAATGCCATATTTTCCATTAATTATTGGTTCATTTTTGTAAACAAATTTTGACAAGTGAGTATTTCGAACAAAAACAAATTGCCTGTGGTTTTTGTAGACGTTTGTTGTACAACAACTCGTGTCGCTACTTTATTAATTTACTTTGACCGCCGCTGTGTTTCAAAGAATCGAACGGCGTTACCTTAAAATTTGTTTCACTTTGGTGTCTGTTTTCCGAACAAGTCGAAAGAAAAACAATTATTTTGCAAATCTAACGCGAAAAAAAAAAGAAATTATTTTGCTCTGGGCTTAATTTTATTTTTTGTGAAAAATATCTACTCAAATTAATGTAAAATTAAACAAACAAAAATAATGATTTATTTGTAAAACGGACTTTAATTAAAAAAAAGAAATTGTGAAAAGTTTAAACAAAAAAAAAAAAAAAAAAACGTAAGTGGAAATTTACGCATCAAGCTAATTAAAGATAAATAACAACAATATTGCAAAACAATTTACTTTTACGGAGCAAATTAATAGGTACAGGGCGTTGTCTGTCTGTTTAGAAAATAATAGCTCAGCTTCAGTGCACACTAAAACCCAACAAACAATTGTATTGAATAAATTACAAAATAATTATAAGACCTAGACATAATTTCATTGTAAAGTTTTGTGGGTGTACGGTACGTTGTTTTAGTTTTGCTGTGTCATAAAACACAATATTAACACCACCTGTGTGAAAGTTGGTCATTGCATTTACTCTACATTTGTTTGGCTTTTTTTCTATTATACCTCAAGGTCTTGTAAACAAACGAAATAAAATACATACGACTGACTCCCTCTATTTGCGACACGAACTCAGACCTATCGACCCACTAATTGTATCTTACCGCAAATAATCAGCAAGGTTGTTGGCAGGAAATGGAACTGGAAGCAAAGGTGGAAGTGAAATAAATAAACAAAGTGTGCTGTCAAAAACTTTGAATTCGTCAGAATTTTGTAGGAAATTTTGAAAAGAACTACATATATTATACAAAGGTTTTAACAAAAAGGGCAATCATTTAGATTTCATATTGTTTCCTTACGATTGACATTCTGACAAAAGAGTTGTTCCTTTTTACGAGGATAGTTCAAAAAGTTTGAAATAAATATATAGGAATGGCAAGTAGTACGGAATATGTTCTCTATATTCCGTGGACTAAACTAATATAGAAATTAGTCAATAATAGACTTTCGTGCGAAAGGAAAATATAAAATTGTCTTTCTGTTTGTAATTTCTACAATATTTCTGACCCATTAAAGTATATATGTATATAAATACTAAATCCTTATAGATAGCGGAGCCGATTTAGCTATATATCCGTCTATCCATCCATGAATAACCTAGAAACATATAATCAAACATATTGATATAATGAAAATCTAAAACACGCTGCTTACTAATTTAATGTATGCTGCGTCATCTACCTATAAAAGATGAATTTCTGGAACTTTTTCGTTAATCATTTGGAACTTAAAAAAAAAAACAAATATTCCATGATATCTCAGCACTTTGACACATCTATTGCAACCAAGTGATTTAATTGTCTTGACATTAGGCTTTGGCCAAATTACCTTGAACATCCCATAAACCCTTCTTCTTTTATTCGACATTCTCTTGAATGTGTTCTTTAAAATTTGTCAATCAAATAAACTAAATAGCTAATATATTTAAATTAAACATGACAGCAGCCAGACATGCGTGTAGTTTTAAAATTAACATTAAATTTATGATACTAACTTATACAGATAAAATGTGTCAAAATTATTTTTAGAACTTACACCTTTAAAAGTAAAAGAAAACATTTTACAAATATTTTAAAGTTGTCACAGGTTTTCTTATTTACTCTATTAACTACAAAGCAATCTCTAAAAATATAAAGAATCTTTAAATTAAACCAAAATATAGGTATAACTTAGCCCTCTAATAAAATGAAAAATCCAAAAATCATGCGTTTACACCACAAATTTCGCAATAAAAATATAAAGTAAATATTAAATATACTAAAAACCCACAAAACCAACAACTTCTTGCTTATAATTTAAATAAGTGTTATATGAATTTTTGATTAAATGCGTCGTTTAAATGCAATACTTTACACAAAATAACATAAATCTACTCAAAAAAAAAAAAAACATCAACAGAATTAAATAGTGCTAAAACAAGCAACTTTTTTTTAGACGCAAAGCTAAAACGATGGTAGCTGCCAAGTTAGTAGAAACCGCCAAACAAATAAAAACAGATGTTAAAAGAATTCAAACATTTGTGAAAAAAATTAAAAAAAAAATATTTTTTTACACAACGTCATCTTAAGGCAGAAATACTGTCCACTATACTATCGAGGAAAATTGTTGTCTGGTTTGCTAAAATGTGTATAAAATTAATTTAAAGATGTTTAAATTTATTTTATTATCAGCAAACTCATTTTGAGGTGAAAATACTAATCACTATACTATCGAGGATAAAGCTATCTATGTATACACGTTTGTCAGATCTTACAACGTAGGCGGTATGATCACTATACTATTGAAGAAAATCATAAAATTTGAAAACGTATGGACTAAGTTATAAGAAATTGTATTGTCATTATACTATCAAGGAAAATATATATTAATTTTTATTTGAACTTGGACAATTTCTTTCACATATAAATAGCAGAAATGAGGACGAGGAGCTGTAGAGATATCCTAAAAGACATGTTGTTGTTGTAACAGCTTAAAGTATTGGGCCACTTCTACAGGGTTAATCCATAAATCCATTGGGCTAAGTAATGTGGGGATCTTGTCCACATGCTGGATATATGTTAGGGACGACACGGTCTATGCGGAACCAGTAGGCGTTGAGCCTGTTGCTCCATATCGATCGCGGAATACAGAGTCTCAGACAAGATTGTCTAGGAATTAGGTTTACAATAAACCTGAAAGCATTTTTCTGTTTCAATCCTTATAAACTGCTAGGTTTTATCAAGGGAATATATCAGCAATTGTAGACGTAGATCTCGTTCCATTTTTGTTCTATCGATATTTGAAGATCTCTAAGATCTTGAAATGGGCTTCATCCTTTAGACCACAGCCTCTATTTTCATCTTCTTTTTTTTAATTTTTTTTTTCTCACATAAATGCTACTGAAGGGGATCATAATGAACCCTATCTAGATTTCAAAAATTTTTAATAGCTTTCGTATGAGACAAATAGATATTTACAACAATAAATATCAGAAAAAGTTTAAATACTTAATAAGATCTGAAGACAACCAACGAAATAATACAGAAATATGAAAAAATAATTAGCGCGTACCCAAGTGCTATAAAAACGAATACGAAGAAAAACATCAGCAAAACGACTCTAACGAAAAAAAAAGTAAAACAAATAATAAGCCAACAACAAATATTTTTAACAAGCTCATATTTCAGTCTTTTACTTAAAGCCATTGAGCAACTAAGCACTAACAGACATAAAAAAGAAAAGTAAATTAAATCAAACTAAAGCAAATTAAAAGAAATCATATTATAAATCTAACAATTAAGCAACATCAAAGAGAAATTGATTTACATAGAAAAATTTAATTAATCCTAAGTAAAAGGCAACTTCAACAAAAACATAGACCAACGTAAATGCAATAAACGTGTTATAATTAAATTTTTATTAAATTTAAACAAATTCAGTTTAAACAACGAAACAACAGCACCAACATTTAAATAAATAAATATACGCTTCATCAGCACCAACAAGACCAACTTAATCTATACAAATGCCCTACATTATTATACGTGGTAATTTAGCTTCATATAGTCATAAGTATCCATGGCGTGTTTTAGTGTCAGGACTAAAAGGTAATCAAATACAGTTGTTCTATTTTCATATTTTCAACGTTCCTTTTATTATTTATAGAATGAAATAATTGTTTGTTTATCGTTTTTTTTTATTATTTATGGCATGGCACCACAGCTTTTATTATTTGAAAAGAAGAAAAAGAAACGTACATTTACAATTTTTTATTCAATAGATAAATAGTTCGTTGTCTATCTTACGCCATTAATAAATATTATACCAGCACTTTATGTCAATATGTCACTTGTTTTAAAATACATATCTACCAACAAAAATGAACAACTTTACCTATTTTTTCTTACACACTATTTACTTATTTATTATTTATAAATTCAACTTTATTGTATACTTTTAAATAAACTACCCAGCAAAAAAAGTGTGGAAAAAGATGTAGAATTTTCATCACAACTAGTAACCCGAAGTGCTTAAAATTCGGGTGTAAAACCTATGAATTTTACATTAGCGTGTCATTGGAGGGATGTTGTTCATTTTTGGCAGCTTTGAACTACATCTGATCTTATTTTTAGAAGCAGTAAAAATCCGATATTTGGATGTCAAAAATAAAACACATTCTCTTAATGACACGCTTATGTAAATTTCACTGCTCTTTCACCAAATCATGATGTACTTCAAATATGTTATTTGTAATGACTTTTCCACATCTCTTTCCTCACTTTTAACTGGGGTTTCATTTGTAAGGAAATATTTGGTTTATAAAAGTGAAAAATATGAAATCGCATTTTAAGATGTGATTAAGATGTGGTTTGTAAAGTATGCCATCAAATATTTTTTGCTGGGTAAATAATAACGTTTTATACATAGTTATTTCAATTGATTTCTATGTCAAAGTGGTGTAATTGATGATTAACTAAATTTTTATACTTAAAGTTATCTAAAGCGTCTGATTTGAAAAAAAGAATTTAAAAATTGTTGTAATATAATATAATTTCAAACAAAAAATTTTATTTTAATGCACAGATCAAATGAGCCACGTATAATTCTATTTTTGGTCATGCCGGCTTTTTTTCTGTTATATACTTTTCGTGCTTGAAAAGAAGTTATTTGAAAGTTTTAATAATATGTTAGGTTTTCATTTAAAAATTAAAAAGTCTGGTAAACAGTGAATAACCTTCTTACTAGAACTAACAAGAACTGAACTAGAACTGAACTAGAACTGACTGAACTAGAACTGAACTAGAACTGAACTAGAACTGAACTAGAACTGAACTAGAACTGAACTAGAACTGAACTAGAACTGAACTAGAACTGAACTAGAACTGAACTAGAACTGAACTAGAACTGAACTAGAACTGAACTAGAACTGAACTAGAACTGAACTAGAACTGAACTAGAACTGAACTAGGACTGAACTAGAACTGAACTAGAACTGAACTAGAACTGAACTAGAACTGAACTAGAACTGAACTAGAACTAAACTAGAACTAAACTAGAACTGAACTAGAACTGAACTAGAACTGAACTAGAACTGAACTAGAACTGAACTAGAATTGAACTAGAACTGAACTAGAACTGAACTAGAACTGAACTAGAACTGAACTAGAATTGAACTAGAACTGAACTAGAACTGAACTAGAACTAACTTGAACTGAACTAGAACTAACTTGAACTGAACTAGAACTGAACTAGAACTGAACTAGAACTGAACTAGAACTGAACTAGAACTGAACTAGAACTAAACTAGAACTGAACTAAAACTGAAATAGAACAGAACTGAACTAGAACTGAACTAGAACTGAACTAGAACTGAACTAAAACTGAACTAGAACTGAACTAGAACTGAACTAGAACTGAACTAGAACTGAACTAGAACTAACTTGAACTGAACTAGGACTGAACTAGAACTGAACTAGAACTAAACTAGAACTGAACTTGAACTGAACTAAAACTGAAATAGAACAGAACTGAACTAGAACTGAACTAGAACTGAACTAGAACTGAACTAGAACTGAACTAGAACTGAACTGAACTAGAACTGAACTAGAACTGAACTAGAACTGAACTAGAACTGAACTAGAACTGAACTAGAACTGAACTAGAACTGAACTAGAACTGAACTAGCACTGAACTAGAACTGAACTAGAACTGAACTAGAACTGAACTAGAACTGAACTCGAACTGAACTAGAACTGAACTAGAACTAGAACTGAACTAGAACTGAACTAAACTAGAAATGAACCAGAACTGAACTAGAACTGAACTAGAACTAAACTAGAACTTAACTGGAACTAGAACTAAACTAGAACTAAACTAGAACTGAACTAGAACTTAACTAGAACTGAACTGGAACTAGAACTGAACTAGATCTACACTAGAACTATAACTAAAACTGAACCAAGAATGAATGACAACTGAACTAGAACCTAACTAGAACTGTACTAAAACTGAACTAGAACTAAACTATGATTAGTTCGAAAAATTAATTATTTAATTAAATTTTAAAGAAAGATTTTTACGGCACACAAATTTTAACAATTTTTCTTATTAAACGCATATTTGCCTACACGTTCTCTGAAGTCAAAAACTTTATTATTATTTTCTTACTCCAATTTATTGCCCATAAATTTCTGAAGAACTTTTTCTTAATTGAATATTTTTATTTACATATTTAAATATAACTTCATTATACATATTTATTTAAAAAGTTTTTGTTTTATTTCCAAATGGCTTTTTATTGATATTTATATAAAGATGGACAAAAAAAAAAACAAGTCATCAACACATTTAAGTTCATAGCAAATATTTCAATATAAAAGTTTAATGACACACTTGTTTTTTTATACATACAATATTCTAAATATTAGTAGTAGAATGTTTTGTAAAAGACCAGTGGTAATGAATGGATAATATTTGTTGTTGTTTTTTTTAATATTGATAAAGTTGCCAGATATTTATTAAAGAAATAACAGAGGTATAAATTATAAATTATAGTTTATATGCTGCGTAAAGAGTTTATATCACACTGGGAAGTCAATATTATAACAACTGGACTGAGTTGAATACAATATATTGCAAAAGTATAGTTATAAGAATTAACTTTTAACCAACTCGCTCATATTTCTGAATGTAAATCCTAAGAATTTTTTAATCTGTGTTCGTGAGGAATGTTATATTCGGATATAACATGTTCTACATCTAAATTCGTCTGAGCCCGCAAGTCCAATTTTGTATAGGTGTTCCCCTAATCCTGTGTGTTCACTCAAAATACATACCATCATAACCTCAGATTTGGTAATTTCGTTCTGACACCGTTTCAATATTCCAAGAGGGTCCTCGTTTTGTCGAGTGGTTTGCTTTTTCATTTCCGACTAATCTTGATAGATAGTTAGATAGATAGATAGATAGATAGATAGATAGATCGATAGATAGATAGATAGATAGATAGATAGATAGATAGATAGATTCGCTCGCTCGCTCGATCGCTCGCTCTGCTCGCTCGCTAGCTAGATCGCTGCTCGCTCGCTCGCTCGCTCGCTCGCTCGCTCGCTCCTCGCTCGCTCGCTCGCTCGCTCGCTCCGCTCGCTCCTCGCTCGCTCGCTGCTCGCTCGCTCGCTCGCTCGCTCGCTCGCTCTCTCGCTCGCTCGCTCGCTCGCTCGCTCGCTCGCTGCTCGCTCGCTCTCTCTCTCGCTCGCTCGCTCGCTCGCGCTCGCTGCTCGCTCTCGCTCGCTCGCTCTCGCTCGCTCGCTCGCTCGCTCGCTCGCTCGCTCGCCCTCTCGCTCGCTCGCTCGCTCGCTCGCTCGCTCGCTCTCGCTCGCTCGCTCGCTCGCTCGCTCTCTCTCGCTCGCTCGCTCTCTCGCTCTCTCTCGCTCGCTCGCTCGCTCTCGCTCGCTCGCTCGCTCGCTCGCTCGCTCGCTCGCTCGCTCGCTCGCTCGCTCCTCGCTCGCTCGCTCGCTCCTCCTCGCTCGCTCGCTCGCTCTCTCTCTCTCTCTCTCTCGCTCGCTCGCTCGCTCGCTCTCGCTCGCTCGCTCGCTCGCTCTCTCGCTCGCTCGCTCGCTCGCTCGCTCGCTCGCTCGCTCGCTCGCTCGCTCGCTCGCTCGCTCGCTCGCTCGCTCGCTCGCTCGCTCGCTCTGCTCGCGCTCGCTCTCGCTCTCGCTCGCTCGCCCTCGCTCGCTCTCTCGCTCGCTCGCTCGCTCTCGCTCGCTCGCTCGCTCGCTCGCTCGCCCGCTCGCTCGCTCCTCGCTCGCTCCTCGCTTCGCTCGACGTGTTGTTGTTGTAGCAGCGACATGTGTAAAGTCCGGTGTGGCAGGGTTGACAATCCTTGCTCGTTGTTCGTTGAACTCCGAGTAGTTCCGGTGCGAAGAACCGATTGTCGTACGAACGAGAGATAAGAGTGTAGGATATATTGGGTATTGGTCTCACTCCATACGCTGCAATTTTGTTATAAATAAATCAATTAAGCAAAAAATGAGCCCCGTAGCTGAACATAACATCGGTCAAGTATTAATGTTATCAAATATGTTTATTATTTGGTATTCATATTCCAAATTTAGTTTTTTTAATTACTCGCTTTTGAAAAATAATCAATAAAGATGATTTCATTTAAAAACACGTCACATTTAAAAAATTAACTAAACGAAATTTTTTGTATCGTTTCATTGTTTTAAGAAACTACTATCTTCAATATAAAATCTCTACAATTTAATGTCATACAAAATCGCAAATATAATGTTTAATCTGGCAGCTAGTTATCTTCACAATTCCACTAGTAATACAAACTCTTTACTATATTCTCTATAAATGTTACTCATTTTATTTTTTACTTATACATTCATTCTATACATTTATCGATACTACGACACAACTATAAACTTTTTTTATAATAAACTAGTAGAGAGTATGACACAATGTTTTGGTTTTTTTTTTTCAACGATTTTTTTATGTTTTGGCACTTTATCCAGTAACGTTGCTTAGTTAAGACCAAGTGGTATTTGAAAAAAAAAAAATCACAAAATATATTTTTGTTTAACAAATTATTATCAATTTGCAAAGGTTATATAAAAAAAGCAAATTTGTTTAATTTTCTTCAAAATACTGTCAAATAGTTTGTATTGATTTTAGTTATTTACTATTTTTACGCTGCCTTGTGTGATTTATTTATCTTTGCGATATATAACTTTTATTTGTAGTTTTTATTGTTAAATTATTTATAAAAAACATTATTATGTGTAACAAAATTTAATTAATTGCTTAATTTTTGTGTAAAATTTTAGCTTCTGATATAGAGCAATTGAATAAGTTTTCTTGTGGCGGTTATAGTGATGAAACTACTATAGTTTATTTAGTACATCCTTGTCATATTTTATCTGCTTTGGAGGTAAGTTCTTTTATGAGATATATTATGGAAATTAGTAAAAATTGTTTTATCATTATAAGTAAATTTCACCATATGCTTAAATAACTCCATAAAAAGTACAAGTATAAATTGTCTGTATAATTTAGAGTTATGTAGCTATGACTCACTTCTCAAGAGTTTATGCAATCATTTATATGCATTCTCTGCAGTCTGAATGATGTAGATATGTTTAGATAAAACTAGTCGGGGGTTGGTTTTAATATTTATATGGAATTATAATAAATAATCAAAGCAAACCTTCTAAGATTTGAGTCCTCGATTAGAAGCTCTCAGATAACTCTGCAACGGTTTTAGAAGTATTTCCTTTTATAGACTGAAATCTATCTATCTATCTATCTATCTATCTATCTATCTATCTATCTATCTATCTATCTATCTATCTATCTATCTATCTATCTATCTATCTATCTATCTATCTATCTATCTATCTATCTATCTATCTATATATCTATCTATCTATCTATCTATCTATCTATCTATCTATCTATCTATCTATCTATCTATCTATCTATCTATCTATCTATCTATCTATCTATCTATCTATCTATCTATCTATCTATCTATCTATCTATCTATCTATCTATCTATCTATCTATCTATCTATCTATCTATCTATTAATCTATCAATCTATCTATCTATCTATCTATCTATCTATCTATCTATCTATCTATCTATCTATCTATCTATCTATCTATCTATCTATCTATCTATCTATCTATCTATCTATCTATCTATCATCTATCTATCTATCTATCTATCTATCTATCTATCTATCTATCTATCTATCTATCTATCTATCTATCTATCTATCTATCAATCTATCTATCTATCTATCTATCTATCTATCTATCTATCTATCTATCTATCTATCTATCTATCTATCTATCTATCTATCTATCTATCTATCTATCTATCTATCTATCTATCATCTATCTATCTATCTATCTATCTATCTATCTATCTATCTATCTATCTATCTATCTATCTATCTATCTATCTATCTATCTATCTATCTATCTATCTATCTATCTATCATCTATCTATCTATCTATCTATCTATCTATCTATCTATCTATCTATCTATCTATCTATCTATCTATCTATCTATCTATCTATCTATCTATCTATCTATCTATCTATCTATCTATCTATCTATCTATCTATCTATCTATCTATCTATCTATCTATCTATCTATCTAATCTATCAATCTATCAATCTATCATCTATCTATCTATCTATCTATCTATCTATCTATCTATCTATCTATCTATCTATCTATCTATCTATCTATCTATCTATCTATCTATCTATCTATCTATCTATCTATTCTATCTATCTATCTATCTATCTATCTATCTATCTATCTATCTATCTATCTATCTATCTATCTATCTATCTATCTATCTATCTATCTATCTATCTATCTATCTATCTATCTATCTATCTATCTATCTATCTATCTATCTATCTATCTATCTATCTATCTATCTATCTATCTATCTATCTATCTATCTATCTATCTATCTATCTATCTATCTATCTATCTATCTATCTATCTATCTATCTATCTATCTATCTATCTATCTATCTATCTATCTATCTATCTATCTATCTATCTATCTATCTATCTATCTATCTATCTATCTATCTATCTATCTATCTATCTATCTATCTATCTATCTATCTATCTATCTATCTATCTATCTATCTATCTATCTATCTATCTATCTATCTATCTATCTATCTATCTATCTATCTATCTATCTATCTATCTATCTATCTATCTATCTATCTATCTATCTATCTATCTATCTATCTATCTATCTATCTATCTATCTATCTATCTATCTATCTATCTATCTATCTATCTATCTATCTATCTATCTATCTATCTATCTATCTATCTATCTATCTATCTATCTATCTATCTATCTATCTATCTATCTATCTATCTATCTATCTATCTATCTATCTATCTATCTATCTATCTATCTCTATCTATCTATCTATCTATCTATCTATCTATCTATCTATCTATCTATCTATCTATCTATCTATCTATCTATCTATCTACTATCTACTATCTATCTATCTATCTATCTATCTATCTATCTATCTATCTATCTATCATCTATCTATCTATCTATCTATCTATCTATCTCTATCTATCTACTATCTATCTATCTATCTATCTATCTATCTATCTATCTATCTACACTATCTATCTATCTATCTATCTATCTATCTATCTATCTATCTATCTCTATCTATCTATCTATCTATCTATCTATCTATCTATCTATCTATCTATCTATCTATCTATCTATCTATCTATCTATCTATCTATCTATCTATCTATCATCTATCTATCTATCTATCTATCTATCTATCTATCTATCTATCTATCTATCTATCTATCTATCTATCTATCTATCTATCTATCTTTCTTCTATCTATCTATCTATCTATCTATCTATCTATCTATCTATCTATCTATCTATCTATCTATCTATCTATCTATCTATCTATCTATCTATCTATCTATCTATCTATCTATTATCTATCTATCTATCTATCTATCTATCTATCTATCTATCTATCTATCTATCTATCTATCTATCTATCTATCTCTATCTATCTATCTATCTATCTATCTATCTATCTATCTATCTATCTATCTATCTATCTATCTATCTCTCTATTGAGTGCAAATTTAGGGTCAATACTTAATCTTTTTAAAATTTGCAATTTTTATCGACATTGTTTGTAACACCCTCTTTTTATTTACAGATTTTAGGTTTTCGCGTTGTAGCATCCTCCTCCACAGCCGTAAAACAAGATTATAACGAGTATATGTGGACCATGCGTAAAGAGTTTACCGAACCTGAACCACTAGAACCGAATCAGCCGTTGTAAGAGAAAATCTTTCGAATATAGGAAGAGAAGCAGCTAGTTTAGGCAACTATCATAAAGTGCACTCTCCCGAATAAATTGGAAAGTACTTATCGAAAACTACTTTTTTTGTACCATTTTTCTACTCTCTAATCTCTAACCAACCCTTGTCCTCAAACTCCAAAGCCAAGTTTGTTACCAAAAGCAAAAAAAAAAAGGAAATCTTTCGAAATAATACACAACAAAAATAAATTTTCTGGTTAAAAAATTAAATTGTTAATTACTCTTTTTCTCCACCTACATTAAAAGAGTAGTGAAAAGAGTGTAATTATTTACCTTTAAATGGAAATGGAATCTGATCAAACTAACATTACTAATAATACCACCACAACAACTTTAACCGCAAATCCCAGTGTTAATCCTCCAAATATACAACAACTTGCATCTGGCAATTCGGTAACAAATACAGCCCCAGCGACTACAGCTAATGTAGTTACTATTCCTGTACCCATTGTAAATAACGAAGGCACTTATGCTTATATAACCGTTAAAGGTTCTTTACATGATCGTTCTTGTTCTGTTTTTGGTTTGAATGACACTGAAATACAGGCGCTATCGAAACGTTTCGAAAACAGTGTTAAGCCCGTAGTGAATGGTGTTATGGTATCAGCCTCTCCTCTTGTTATGCTAAATACCTTGGCACAATTGAGCTATAAAGTTGTTTGCAGTTGTGGAGAAGCTGAAATCTGTTGGACTATGCAACGTGAAATCTAATAAAAATTATAAAATAATAAAAAAGGAAAACGAAAAGGACATTGAAAAAAATATTAATAATAAATATTCTATTACATTTCTCTCAATATTAAGAGCACTTATACGTGTAACGTGTAAATTCTAAAGACACTTAAAAAAAAAACTATTTAAATTTTCTTCTTTATAAAAAAAAATAAAATTTTTATTAACAAAAAATTAAAGTCATTTAAACAACAAAATGGATCGTCATAAAGCTGATTGTTGCAAATGCCACAAGTATGTGCAACCAGCCCAGCAATCATTAAGCGATATGGATTTTGATCGTGGTATTTGGAATGCAGGTTTGTGTGTTTTTAATTTTTTTTCAGAATGAAAGTGTTTGTTTTTATTTATCCTTTGTTTTTGACATTATTTTTAGTTATTTACAACGAAGTTGAACGCGTTAAAGACTTTATAGCCAAAGGCAAAACAATGGATCGTGATAATTGTGATTACACGGCCTTACATTATGCGGCGCGTAATGGTAATGTCGAAATTTGTAAATTACTTTTGCAAGAAGGGAAAGCTGATATCAATGCTGTTACCAAAGGAGGGGCAACAGCATTACATCGTGCTGCTATGATGGGTAAGAGCTAAAATTTTGTACTAAACTTTTAAAATTTGTATTTTGTACTAAAATTTGAATGTTGTTCTAAAAATTTAGTTTTAAATTTTTTACTTAATTTTGAAGACTACAAAATTTTAAATTTTGTTCAAAATTTGTAATTTTTGTACTAAATTTTAAAATTTGTACTAAATTTTCAATTTTGTGCTAAATTTTCGATTTTGTGCTAAAATCTAAATTTTGTACTAAATTTTTAAATTTTGTACTAAATTTTCAATTTTGTACTAAATTTTCAATTTTGTACTAAATTTTCAATTTTGTACTAAATTTTTAATTTTGTACTAAATTTTCAATTTTGTACTAAATTTTCATTTTTGTACTAGATTCTCAATTTTGTATCAAATTTTTAATTTTGTATTAAATTTTTAATTTTGTACTAAATTTTCGCTTACGGCCTAAATTCTCAATTTTATGCTAAATTTTTAAGTTGGCATTAACTTATCAATTTTGTACTAAATTATAAATTTTATACTAAAATTTTTGTTTTGTACTAAAATTTAAATTCTGTACTAATATTTATGTTTTGTACTAATATTTTAATTTTGTACTAAATTATCAATATTGTACTTAAATTAAGGTTTTGTACTAAAATTTAAATTTTGTATAAAATTATTAATTTCGTACTAAATTATAATTTTTGAGGATTCATACTAAAATTTCAATTTTGTACTAAATTTTAAATTCTGTAAATTTTCGATTTTGTACTAAATTTTCAATTTTGTACTATATTTCCAATTTTGTACTAAATTTTCAATTAAAACTAAATTATTAATCTTATACTAAATTTATAATGTTGTACTAAATTTTAAATTTTGATCTAACTTACTAATTTTGTACTAAATGTTGTTCTAAATATTTAATATTTCATTTTGTACTAAAATTTCCATGTTTATTAAATCAATAATTTTGTACGAAATTATAAATTTTGTACTAAGTTTACTCTGAAATGAAATTTATATTTAGTACTAAACTTTAAAATTGTACTAAATTACAATTTTGCACTAAATTGCCAAATTTAAACTAAATTTTTAAATCTGGACTAAAATTTAAAATTTTGAACTAAAATTAATTCTCATACTAAAATTTAAATTAAGTACTAAATTTCGAACAATGTACTAAATTTAATACCTTACTTTCAAATTCAAATTTCTACTAAAATTTAAAACTTTGTTCGAAAATTTATATTTTGTACTAAAAATTCTAATGATATTTCTTTTTTTCCGGCCCTTTTTCAGGTCATCTAAATGTCGTTAAACTCCTCATTGACTCTAAAGCCAATATCGAGTTAAAGGATGAAGATGGCCAGACAGCTTTACATCGTTCAGCGGCTCGTGGTCATTTAGATGTTAGTAAACTTTTAATCGAAAAACAACCAAATCTTAAAGATGTTCCCGATAATAAAGATAAAATACCATTTGAATATTTAGCAAAAAATGCAAATGATGATTTTAAAATATTGCTTAAACCTTAGAGAAAATTTCAAATGATAAACCTAAAAATCAACATATAAATTAAACAAAAAAAAGAAAACAAACAATATTAACCCCCTTTTTAAAATATATACTTAACTAATAATTAACTAAATAAGTGCATTTGAGAAAACAAAAAAAATAATATTTTCTTTTTTATAAACTTTAAAAGTATTTTTATGAAGAATAGTTGAAAAGAAACAAATAATATATAAAAATATATCTCTAACAATACATACCATAAACAAATAAAGTCTATATATTATTAAGTCCTTTAAACCGTTTTTTTTTTCCTTTAACAATTTGTCATTATTGTTCTTAGTTTTTATTTAGTTGTCTGGTAATTGTTGTAACATTTAAGATAAACATTTTCTTTTGTTTGTTTGTTTTACTTTTAAAATTGTTAATGTTCTTAAAAACAAAACTCTAGGGTTTTCTCTAAAACTATATTGTTGGTATAATGTGTACTTTTTATTACGGAATTACTATTGTAGTTGTAGGTTTTGCTATATTTTTTTTTCTTAAATAGTTTCTAAAAATCTCTAAGAAATATTACTTTTAAATATGGTTTAAATATATTTTCTTTCAGCTATTATTTACTGTTTTTATTCTTTGTTACTTTCAACAACCAAATAAATATTTTGAATATAAAAAAAAAAATAATTTATTGTGTTAAAAAATAAAATCATATACATTTAATTTAATATATAAAGAATCACAACTAATAATAATAAAAAATATCCTTTCAAAAATAGTATTCGTTTAACAAATAAAACACAAATAAACAATATTTTAAACATTTAAGTATTATAAAAAAATATCAATTTTGTTTTTCTCTTTTTTAAAAATGTTGCAAAAAATAAATATATATAAATATTCTTAAAAACTATTATCCGTTATATATTATTGAGAGATTTTTGTTTATTTTTTCAAAATATATTCTTTTTGAGAATTTTTAATGTTAGTGTATGTGTGAAAGAAAAGGAGTAGATGGTACTATATTTTAGTTTCATTTTCCGTTTAACACATATAACGGCATCACAGTTTCACAATCATAAAAGTCTATTAAATATTCTTGTAATATTTTAGGTATTTCTAATTGTTCGATCATTTGTTGTAATGTTGATTTATCATTCGTTGCCCGATAGTTTTGTTTTAATTCTACGGTGGAATTACAAAATGTTTCCATTAAATGCTTACGTATTTGTATACGTGTTAATGACTTCAGTTCCAAGGGTTGATTGGTTAATTGCTGTATGTAGTCTTCGTAATCTTGTCGTTCTTTGGAAAATTTATTCGTTATACTAGAGGGATATTTGGGTTGGGGAAATTTAAAACCGTTTAAAAACTGAAAATGGATAAAAGAATTTCAATTTAATAAATTAACTAGTGAAATAGAATTGAATTAAAACAAAACTAGAACTGAACTAGAACTAATGTAGAAATGAACTAGAACTGATCTTGAACTGAACTAGAAATTAACTAGAATTGAACTAGAACTGATCTAAAACTGGACTAGAACTAAACTACAACTGATGTAGAACAGAACTAGAGCTGAACTAGAAGTGATCTTAATCCGAACTAGAACTTAATTAAAACTGTTCTATAACTGAACAAGAATTGAGCTGCAACTGTTCTAGAACTAAACTTGAACTGAATTAGAACTCATCTAGAATTGATCTAGAACTGAACTACAATTGATTTAGAACTGAATAGAACTGAACAAGAATTGAACTAGAATTAGAACTTGAACTGTATTTGAAGTGATCTTAATCCGATCTAGAACTGAACTAAACTAGAACTTAACTAATACTTAACTAAACTAGAACTTAACTACAACAAAAATTGAGCTGCAACTGGTCTAGAACTGATCTAGAATTAAACTAGAACAGAACTACAATTGAACTAGAGCTGAACTAGAATTAAACTATAACTTAACTAGAACTAAACTAGAACTGAACTGGAAAAAGAACTAGAAATCTACTAGAAGTGATCTTAATCCGATCTAGAACTGAACTAAACAAGAACTTAACTAAAACTGATCTAGAACTGAACAAGAATTGAACTGCAATTGGTCAAGAACTGAATTAGAACTGATCTAGAAATGAACTATAACTGATCTAGAACTGAACTTGAACTGAAGTAGTACTGAACTAGAACTGAAATAGAACTGAACTAGAACTGAACTAGAACTAAACTAGAACTGAACTAGAACTGAACTAGAACTGAAATGAACTAGAACTGAACTAGAAGTGAACTAGAACTGAACTAGAACTGAACTAGAACTGAACTAGAACTGAACTAGAACTGAACTAGAACTGAACTAGAACCAAACTAGAACTTAACTAGAACTGAACTAAACTAGAACTGAACTTGAACTGAACTAGAACTAAACTAGAACTGAACTAAAAATTCTAAACTAAACTTAAATTCTCAAAACCCAATAATTTCACATTAATCTTATACTCACCTAATAATTTCGTTAATTGTTTATATCCTTTTGCCTGTAAGGTCCTTAAATGATTGACCACATGTTCGCGACATATTTGTTGCTGCAAATCGATGCCTTCCTTTATCAAAAACTCTGCAATATCCAATTTATTCAACATAATTGCACGCGATAAAGGCATATGACAATATGGCGTATAACAGCCCGCACTAGAAGTTGACATAAAATTCGACGATCTCTTATGCCAAACGGAACAATTGGCATAAGCAAATAATATTCTTAAAATACACTTAATTTCAACTAAATTCTCTATAGATTGCACCGCCAATAAAAGATTATTATCCATTTCTAATTGCAATGATGTTGCATCTAATTTTAACATATATTCCAACATGTCTGATTTTTTATTGATAATGGCAATTTGTATGGGTGTATAGCCCTCCGAGTTGCGCACTTTAAGACTATTTCTGTGATCATCATAGCATAGCAATAATTTTAACATGTCCATCATGTTATGGGCCACACATTGATGCAATAGATAATGGGAAGTGATATGTCTAGCGCCACGTTCCAATAGGCGGGAAGCCAAAATGATATTATTCTTTTCGACCGCATAAAATAATGCTGTTTTACCATCTTTATCCTGCAAATTGACTTTAGCTCCTCGGCATATCAACTCTATGGCCGCCTCAATCTGTTCATAAGCTATGGCATAAATTAGAACCGTCTTATCATCTTCATCAATCTCATTTATATTGACTTTATTTGTTTGTAACAATATTTGACAAACGGCAGCATTACGATTTTTAAGTGCTGCATGGAAAGGTGTTTCGCCCGTATTAAAGGTTTTGGCATTTGGATTGGCTCCATATTTGAGCAGCAGCAAACTGATATCACAATTATTCGCACCCACATGCAAAGGTGTATAACCAACAGCCGTTGTGACATTTACCTTAGCACCATGTTCTAAGAGTATACGAGCACATTCAACATCTCCCGTAATGGCGGCATAATGCAAAGGAGCCATTGTCATGTGATCGACTGTGTGCGGATCTTGGTGTATAATTTTATTGCAATTATTGTGCCCACAACAATAATTTTCTAAATTACTGACTATATCACCAGTACGTTCAAATGTTTTCGCATAATAATAGTAGAGTGAGGTGAATTCTTCAATAGTTTCGTCGGTTGTGCCGTTTGAATTGTTCATTTGATCGGCATCAGCGGTAAATTCATCCTCCCATTCTAAACAGTCCATGCCATCGGGTGTCGTATCAACCTCGACTTCATTTGTGGTGGAAGCACCTGGAATGGCGAATAATAGAATTATAGAATCTGAAGTATATTTAAATCTAAACTACAACTAGAAATGAAATAGAACAGAACTGGAACTACACTAGAATCGAACTAGAACTGAACTTGAACTCCGATGGAGGCCTATATCTTCCGATTTAATTTAACATACATCCTCCTTTCAAACGAACTATGTATGTAAAAAACTTTAAATTACCTTCAATTATCGATTTCTTTTTAAATGTAAATGACCTAGTTAGTTAAAAATAACTTTATAACATTATCACACAAATATAAATAAAAAACACCTTGATGAAATATTTCTAAATCCGGTTCTTCACAGGATTGTATGAGCAATTGCAATATTTCAGGATCTCCCATTAAAGTAGCTAAGCCGACAGCGGTACGGCCACAGGAGTAGGATATGAATGTAGCTTTGGCACCTTGCATAAGACAGGACAATGTATCCTCATAATTGCCATTGTGAACAGCAGCCAAGAGACGTTCATTGACATCAGAACAACCGAAAACAGAGTGCATTGCTTTCGAATATTCAAGTTTATAGAGAAAACATTTGCTTTAAGGTTTCAGTTATTATTGGTTTCTTTCTTTTTCACTTTTAAATTTGTTTATAATACTGTTATTGTTTATTTATTAGTTAATAAAAAGCTGGAAAATATTTTATTAGGCAAACTTAAAAAAAGAACAAACTAAGTTATGCGAATTTTTTCTTTCACGTTGGTATTTGTTGTCGTTCAGCAATGCGCATACGTTGAACTTTTAAAGAGTTAAATTACCCCCCAAAACTACACGATAGATTAGAAATTTTGGGGTATTTTGTTTAAAAACACAACATAGACCGGAACTAAACTCACAGTATTAAGAAAATGCAACCTTGTAATTGTTTACATTTGTGTAGATAACTTAGCTGTTTTTCTTGTATTTAAGCGATTTGTTATAAGCGGCTATTATAGCGATTTCTGTTGATTTGCTCAATAACGATAACAATAAAATATAACAAAACCGTTAATAAGTACATATTTGCATGTTTTTTTTATAAGTCAAATCCTTTAATTACATTATTTATTATCAATTTTGCTATAAATAATAGTTTTATAACACTAATATAAATTGTTATAAATAAATTTCCTCTTAAACACTAAATTACAAAAGACCAATAAAATAATGGCAGAGTTTGTTTTTCGTTTTTTCTTTATCCTCCTCTCAATTACAACATGGGTATGTCTTCCACCGTAAAACCATCACGTTTAAGAAATATACACAACAAAATATAGCCATAATACCCGCCGGGTATAAACATCAAGATACCCAATATTAATAGGGGCCAAGCACGATCAGCATACTTTTCATTAAATACACCAGACGATACTAAAATACTAAAAGTCAAACAGGTCTGCAATAAAAGGCAAACAAAACATTCCATAAACGAAATCTAGCGCAATAACCTTCATGACTCACCGCTCCGGCCACAAAGAAAAACAATATAAATAATATTGTTTTCCAGGGGAATTTTCTTTGTGGTTCCACCCATTGTTCATCTACAAAGCCATCGGGTTGATCATGTTGCTCCTCCTCGTCAGGTTCACTACTTAATAGTTCATAAGAACCAGCATTTGTTCGGCGACGTGACATTTTTGCTTTTATTTCGAGATTACGTTTTGTATTTGTTTTGCTTCTTGTAATTACTTTTTTATAATGATTTACTGACTAAAATGTTTGATTGTTGCTATTTTTAATTGAAATACTTTTATCACAAAAGTTCTATAAATAAATGTAACAAAAAATAATTTCACAGATGTTTATTTTTCAGTTTTATAAGTAGAAACAAAACAATACACAACTGTCAAATTGCATTTTGTTTATGTCAGCTGATGGCTGTGTTCATTATACAAATGTCAGAAAATGGGTTACCATCGCAATTTAAAGCCAGCATAACGGAAATATGAGCAAAAATCCTGGACAACCTCTAAAAATTTCATAAAAATTTACATTTTTGTATATGATTGACAGAAATAAAAAAAAACAAACAACATACAGCTTTATATGGGAAATTTTGTTATTGTACTTAGTTTGCTTCTTTATAAAAACAAATACAGAGAAAGAGCAACATGTTAAAGGTGGAAACTAGGGTTCTATAAATCGACTTTCGAATAATCGAACAATCGACTTTTTGTCGAAAAAAGTCGAAAAGTCGAAGTCGACTATTTTGTTCCAAAAAAGTCGATAACTCGACTATCGTCCTATAAAAAAAGTCGAAAAGTCGACTTTGTAAATAAAAGTCGAAAAGTCAAAAAATCGGAAAGTCGAAAAGTCGAAAAAGTTGAAAAAGTCGAAAAAAAGTCGAAAAGTCGAAAAAAGTCGAAAAGTCGGAAAAAGTTCGAAAAGTCGAAAAAGTCGAAAAGAGTCGAAAAATTTTAAAAAAGTGGAAAAAGAGGTCAAAAATCTAAAATAGTCGGAAAAATTCGAAAAAAGTAAAAAATAGTCGAAAAAAAAGTCGAAATAATCGAAAATAGTCAAAAGTCGTAAAAAATCAAAAAGTCGAAAGTCCGGAAAAAGCCGAAAAGTCGGAAAAAGTCGGAAAAAAGTCGAAAAAAAGTCGAAAAAGTCGGAAGGAAAAGTCCGAAAAGTCCGACCATTTAATAAAATACTAAAAGTCGACTTTTAAATAAATGAAAAAGGTCGAAAAGTCGAAAAATCGACTTTTCATCAAATGGCAAAAGGCGAAGGTCGAAAAGTCGACTTTTAACGAAATGCCAACAAAGTCGAAAAGTCGACTTTTCGGTTTCACAACTATAGAACCCTAGTGGAAACACAACAAGTGTTTGTGCGTGGCAAACGCGTTTATAGGCTTCCGTCAAAAGTTGGATAGCGTATTTTCATTTAACAAGTTACACACTATAGTTTGTAACGCGTCTGCCGCGAAAAGTTCTGCAACTTTCAACTTTTGGCGCCTCGGCAGCTTGTCAAATCAGGGATGGAAATTTGTGAGTGTGAAACTAAGTAGGGATAGGAAAATATTATTTAAATTTTTTAATTTTATTAAGTAAATATGTGCTGTTATATGTAACTGTGATAATACCACAGTGGTATCAAGTTACTAATTATTTTGTGGTACTTTTTCATCATTCATTTGGCACTTTTTTTATTTTCTAATTATTATAGCATAAACAAAATACCAGTTGGAAGTGCCCTTGTATAGATTTCCATTCAATCAGGATGCTGCGTCTTTAATTCTATGTTTCTAGGTTTGAGTCTTTGTCGCTCCATCAGGATCTATATGACTTATCAAACCAATATACAATTTTTAAACGAACATTTTCTGACGATATCTGAGTCGCTATAACCGACATGTGGAAAATATGTGATCACTTTCAATTTAATTTATTTTAGTGAAAACCTAGGGCCAAAAGGATGAAAATTGACGATCACTTGGATTTTCCCTCAAAGTGTTATACCGAAAAGTCCTTCCAGTAAATCGATTGTGGCATTTCCTAACACTATAATTAATTTTAGCCTTCTAAGACCTTAATGATGAAACATTCCGTTGCAGACATTTGCCTAGCACTTGATTTAATATAAAATATAAATATAATATTTATTTTAAAATCAAGGTTATGTTAAACACGTGTTGAGAACAATTATTATTTAGTACTAAAACCGTATTACTCATACACATTTAGTTTAGTCCCAAATATGTACGTACGTAAATCTTTAATGGCTAGAATTTACAAATACGATTTATATTTTAAAACATGTATTAAATTTAAAATAAAATGTTTTTGTAGTTAGTTCATTGCTACGTTTTTTTTGCTTGTTCTTTTTCGGTTGGTTTAGTTGGCCAAGATGACTTAATATTTGTAGTTTTTTTTTTTTGCAGAAAAACTTCAACACGTGAAATGAAAGTGTTACAATTTACACTGTTTCCAATTGTATTTCAATAATGACATATTTTAGAGGTCAAATGTTGTTAGAAATTAAATTTATATAAGCACTTTGACAATAAAAACTACCGAACTGTTCACCGACACATTAAGTACTTTTCTTAGACTAGTCAGCAGATTAGTTAGTAGACATACCATAGATTAGTTCATAGAGTAGTTAATAAACTAGCCGACTAGTCCAAAAGTATCAAAAAGGCCAGCCCATAGACTTATTCAAACACTAGTCGAATAAACAAGTCCATAGACTACTTAGTAGACTATGTAAGGTTGATATAAGGATGTATACTACATGAAATCCGAAGAAATACATCTAGGTCTCTATCAGATCTGTTGTGCGCTCCTTTTTCATGGAAAATGTTTGTCGCCTTATGTTCAGAAACTGGACGTAATTCTTAATATCACTCCCAATATATTTGGATCTAATTTCGGCGAAAGTTGACAATGGCAGAAAATGGCACTAGAGTTTCACTGTCCTCTCTACATTCGTCTGAAAACGTCAAATTTCTAGGTTTTAAAATGAAACCCAGGCACGCATTGTCCCCCAGTTTACAGCATTTGGGGTAGCAACGGATTCCTACGGATATTTGCCTCCAATGTTCCGCATGACAATGACATACGATCTCCGATTAGTATTTCAATGTTATATTATTCTGTGTATGGTATGCGATCGGGCACTTCCGATGTTTCTGTATTGCCTTCAATATGTACAGTATACATTATGACGTCTCCTTTAACCGCCTATGATCGCCTAAGTTGTCAGGTCGTTCGGCTGTAAGTGCCATATCTTATATGTATAAGTTTCAATGGGTGGAATGGGTTGACATATTGCTCATGACATCACTTATACCCTAGTAGCATATGCACTGAACTCCCTGCATCAAAATTATGCGATTCTCCTCATACCTTAAGAAAAAACTATATAGATTATTCTCACATATGGACATCCATCCAAAAAATATTAAATGTGGAAATGCTGTTGCAACAATTAAGATACAATCAACAACAATACTTTTACTACTACTGTCACAAATTGTTGTACATTTAAGTTTATAGAAATTCGTCTTGTATGACCAGTATATATGTAGATATAGTCCATACTCTATTTCACTCATTCTCCTCTATTCCCGTTGTGACCTATTAGCTGTTGGCCGTTTTTATTTTCTTGTTCTTTTAATAGTTACTGTTTTGCTGCAGTTGTTTGTCGTCATCAGTGTATAGACTGTGATTCATACAGTTCTTGCTTTTTTCATTTCTTTAAGTCTGAGTATATACCTATACATATATGTATATGTATGTTTTATAGTTTGAACCAAAAACTTAAAAACCCTAAATTGGCATGTACAAGCCGTGTGATTTGTTTACTATGGATGAGTATTCGAACCTACTTGATATTCTGCTGGTGAATGTTTGGTTAAAAATGCCTGCAAAAAAGGTTTAATTTTTTGTCGAAAAAGGATTTGCAAAAAAAAAAAAGAACCATGCCAGTTTTGGCCATGACATTAGCACTATTATATGGACATATTTTGCATATGTATGTATATACCTCTCTGCATGTTTACACCCTACTGTAGGATTGGATTGTTATACGTTATAGCTAATATCACAGTAATTTTAATATCTGAATATCACGATCCCTTTTATACAAAAGATAGATTAGTTAGTCCGCTTGTAAAGCATCGATAAATTAGTCCAAAGATCCACAGAAGTGGGCCTAGCAGCAGGTCTGAAATTTTCTGACATACTGCTACACAAGAGGCATGTTTCCTTGGTGAAAGACCCTCATCTTGGTGTATTGCAATACCGGGGTAAAGAGGTGCTACCAGTACCTCTAGTCTGCCGGGACTGTAAACTGGTGGTGATCAAATGTATCCTCGGCATTTCTTGGAAGTGATTTGACATGGGGTCGAACCAGACAATCACATAATCTGCCTGTTGCCCGCAAGACTTTGTCCTGGCTGGTCAGTTGGTTTCGGTTCCTTTGGGATCCACGTAGTGGCTATGGTTTAAACCCAAAGTCGCCTTCCCGGAGAAGAATATGTCGGTTAAAGGACTGATGCACGGTGAAATCTATAATTCGGGTTAAGTTCGGTGCTGTAGCCGAAGTCAAAAGATACCCCACAGAGGAGTGGCTGTGGGACCAAACGTTGTAGGGGTTATGGATCGTACTCGCCCGTATTCCTAGAGTGAGTCGGATTAATGAGAAGTGTGCAGTGTTGAATGATGATGGATGAAAGGTAACTTATACAAGTGATAACATTGAATTTTCTTTCTTGGTCCAGGTATGTTAAGTGTAAACTCTGTTCATACCAGATTTACCACAGTGTGTCCTCTGTGAATAAGAACAAAGTCTCGGCTTATTTGATGGATTCGTACTTCGGTCTACCGGTTAAGTCTCTAGGTGCTGTTACCGACTCAACAGAGCTAAGAGACCCATCTGCGTGGTTGTAAACCGAAGTCATGTTTTTACATCTCCGACGTTAAACAACGGGTCAGCAATGGTCAGAGATTAAAAAGCTCGAGTACATGAGCTTTAAAGGGTATAAAATAATATTATAGGAATTACAAACGGAATGACAAACTTATATGTATGTTTGTATATACCATTCTCAAGAAGGGTATAATAAAGTCAATCTGTAATCACTTCCAAATGGTACAAACAGTTGAAATTCTTTTATATTCAATACAGACATAAAAATGAAATTTTAAAATTAAAGAAAATCTAAATGTTTAAATGTAGCGCTTTAAGTAGTCTTATCGATCACCTCAATTTAATCCAACATACATTAGTTTCTGAAACAAACTTTTCAAAAAGAAAATTGTCAGCAAACAAATGAACCGCAAACAAGTTGTTCAAAGCAACTTTCGTTTTCAATAGAAATTATTAGT